GGCACCTACCTGGGTGAGAAGCCCTACGAGTGTCCCCAGTGTGGGAAAACCTTCAGCCGGAAATCCCACCTGATCACCCATGAGCGGACCCACACGGGAGAGAAGTACTACAAATGCAACGAATGCGGGAAAAGCTTTAGTGATGGTTCCAACTTCAGCAGACACCAAACCACCCACACGGGAGAGAAACCTTACAAATGCCGAGACTGTGGGAAGAGCTTTAGCCGGAGCGCAAACCTCATCACCCACCAGAGGATCCACACAGGAGAAAAGCCCTTCCAGTGCGCTGAGTGCGGCAAGAGCTTCAGCAGGAGCCCCAATCTCATTGCCCACCAGCGAACCCACACGGGCGAGAAGCCCTACTCGTGCCCCGAGTGTGGGAAGAGCTTCGGCAACCGGTCCAGCCTTAACACGCACCAGGGCATCCACACGGGCGAGAAGCCGTACGAGTGCAAGGAGTGCGGGGAGAGCTTCAGCTACAACTCCAACCTGATCCGCCACCAGCGCATCCACACGGGCGAGAAGCCCTACCGGTGCGCCGAGTGCGGGCAGAGGTTCAGCCAGAGCTCGGCGCTCATCACGCACCGGCGCACGCACACGGGCGAGAAGCCCTACCAGTGCGCCGAGTGCGGCAAGAGCTTCAGCCGCAGCTCCAACCTGGCCACGCACCGCCGCACGCACCTGCTGGAGAAGCCCTACAAGTGCGGCGAGTGCGGCCGGAGCTTCAGCCAGAGCTCCAGCCTCATCGCGCACCAGGGCGCGCACACGGGCGAGAAGCCCTACGAGTGCCTGACGTGCGGCGAGAGCTTCAGCTGGAGCTCCAACCTCCTCAAGCACCAGCGAGTGCACACGGGCGAGAAGCCGCACAAGTGCGCCGAGTGCGGCAAGGCCTTCGGCCAGCGCTCGCAGCTCGCCGCGCACCGGCGCACGCACACGGGCGAGAAGCCCTACCAGTGCCTCCTGTGCGGCAAGAGCTTCAGCCGCGGCTCCATCCTCGTCATGCACCAGCGCGCGCACCTGGGCGACAAGCCCTACCGCTGCCCCGAGTGCGGCAAGGGCTTCAGCTGGAACTCGGTGCTCATCGTCCACCAGCGCATCCACACCGGGGAGAGGCCCTACAAGTGCCCCGAGTGCGGCAAGGGCTTCAGCAACAGCTCCAACTTCATCACCCACCAGAGAACGCACGCCAAAGACAAAGCGGACTGAGCTGGCCGCGCGCTGGTGGCCCGCGGGCCCACGGTGATGCCCCTTCCGGAGGGGGGGTGTCTTTGGGGACTCGGGCCCGAACCTCACCTGCTGCCGTCCCGGTGAGCAGACTCACGCCCCCCGGAACGGGGCGGGGGGCGGGGGACGGAAGGTCGCAGAGTTGGATCTCTTTCCGTTTCATTGCATGACACGCCATGGCCTTCCGCTCTCTTGGTCCTCCGGGCCTCCGTTTCCTCTTTGGTAGCACAGGGGGAGTGTTTCTCGTGGGGGACGGAAGACCGCGGGGCCCACAGCCCGGGCCGAGGCCTCAGAAATACTGGAAAGCGACAGGTGCGGGCTGGTGGTTCTGCTGCCCCTTGGTCGGGTTAAGGTGCCTTCGCCCGGAGCTGCTGGTGTGCCAGGGTGTCAGGTCAGAAGCCGCCCTCCCTGGCCTTGTGTCCTGGGCTTTGATTTCAGGTCAAGGGGGATGGGCTTTTCCAACTCTGAGTCATCCACAGGAAGGTAAAGCCCTTTTCTATCTGTGGAAGGTGTCAGGGACTCCGAGACCCGAGGGAGTGTGGCCTGGAACCACTGTCCCCAGAGCCTTTCCGTTGATAAGAGTCGAACAGGGCCCGCCAGGGAGGGTAGAAACTGAGGATATGGACACGTTTGCTTGTGTCTTTACTTACCCTCCTGTGGTAAGTCGGCCGCCAGGGGAATGCACTCGTTTTTGTGGGGTTTTGTTTTTTGAGTGGGAAATCGGGGACCCCAGCCGCCTACCCCTGGTGGATGGTGGGTTGTCCTTTCGAGGGTGAAAGAGCCCTGCACCCTTCAGGGTGGGCTTGTGTCTTCACCCCCACAGATACTAGCCCCTAAATCATCTCTCTATGCACTTGTCATTCCCCTGTTCTTCTCGTTTTTATTTTATAGGTGCAGGGCTAGAGTTCTGTCTGGTAGCTTTTGTATATGTTCATATTTTTAAGGAAGTGTTGATTTTGAGGACACATCCTCTGTCCTCTGGACAGATTTGGGCTTGAATCAGGAGTTGTCCTATAGGTGTCATCCTTGATCCCGGGATGCTACCAGGGCTTTGTTCTTGGTTCCTTGAGCCTTGAGACCATAAAGACCAGGGGATGTTGGCAGGTCAAGGGGTTTGTTATAAGGAAGAGGAGAACAGAGAAGGTGTTTCTGGGAAATATGAAACCACCTCCTCCAGTGCATGGAGCCTGTGCTCACAATGGGCCTTGGTTCTTAGAGAATGGATGCTCAATATTTCCTAATAAAATAGAGTCCCGTTCTTTTCCTGCGTCTGCCTTTCAGTGTGAACTTGACTATTAGCAAACCCACACCTCACTTCCCACCCACTCACCTCCTGCCTTAGGCCGAAAGCGGTTCAAGACCTTCAAGGAGTAAAAATCAGTGGCTTTAAAGAACACATCTTTGGGTGAACCGAGATCTGTGTGCTTGACCAGTGCACACATCTCTCCACTGTCCTTTGCCAACTGTGCATTCAGTCTGTCAACCAAGACTTGGAGTGGCAGCTTTGGCTAAGGAGCCAGGTGGCCTCCTAAGGAGGCCGTTGGGAATCATCTCTATCCAGAATCAACTAGATTAGACACAAGGAGGACATTTCTAAGCTCAGCAGTGATGGTTGTTAAACCAAATCACGGAGGCTGTGAAATCCCCATTATTAATCCCATTCCTTCACTTATTGGGCAAACATTGAGGACTTAAGTACCATCACTGTGCTAGGAACTAGGGAAAGGTGATGAACAAGAAATCCCATTACCTGTCTTCATCAAGTTTTCACAGGAGGTAGCTACACGAGCCATCCAAGGGAGAATGGATACGGTGGTTTCCTAGCTGACAGTAAATTCTGGGATTTGGGTTGTAGAAGATACTGGTTCTCTCTCCCCCCAAGTCTCAACTTAAGAAAAGAACTGACGTTAAGCTTTGCAAAACTTCTAACTTTCTATTTTTTTACTCCCCTCTACCTGGTAGGCACACAAAATATCTTGGAAAAAAGGGAAGCAAGATCAGGCTGGACCCAGGATGGGAAATGACAGAACGTGGTCTTAGAAAGGTCAAGAGTCCTTCACTTCCTGTCCTGTTTGCCTCTAAAGCGGGTCTGCGGAGGCAGGGAGGGCTCGGCATACACGGGCCTTTGTGTGGCTCGGTGTGGGATGGAAGGGCACAGACTTCTTCCCTAAAAGACATCAGGAAGCCCCAGTCCCCTTGGCAGATCTATTTCCACCATGTCTTTGCTCTCAATTCAGTTACACCTGTGTTTCTGTAACAAAGGACATTTCCCCTAAATGTACATGCATTTAGGGACTGCGGTTTTGTTCCCAGTTTGTTCTAAGTTCGTGGGAACAGCCTTGGGACAGAAACTTATAATGAGGGGCATCTGGGTGGCTCAAGTCGGTTAAGTATCCAACTTTTGGTGTTGGCTCAGGTCATGATCTGCTCCGTGCTCAGTGGGGAGTCTGCTTCCCCTCTCCCTCCCCCTCTGCCACCCCCCTTCTTGAGCACTCTCTCTCTAAAGTAAGTAACTCTTTTAAAAAATGTATAATGGTAAAAAGAAAATAGAGCAATTGCTTTACTGTCAGCGAGGCCCCCATGCCCCTCTTGGCAGGTCTTCTCCGTGACTTGCCCACTTCCATCTCCTGAGCCCTCCGGTGGCCGCCTTGTACCCTTCAGCCCTTTTCCTCAGACCCAGCCAACTCCCAGACTTGGCTCCCCTTCCCGGAGAACCTCGAACCTATCAGGTGTCAGGAACCTCCCTCAGCATCCCAGCCCCAGAGCAACGACTTCTCTGTAGTGCCCCTCGCTTCCTTCCTCCAGGCTCAGCCTGGAGATGTGCGTTCAGGGCGGCGGGACCCCATCTCCACCTGTGTTAGCCTTCACTTCCCTCCAGGGGCAGGGCCTTGCCCCCTCAGTCATTTCCTCCCCTGGTTTCCAGGCTCCTCTACTGGCTTCGTCCCGCAGCTTACGTGCTGCAGCTGGTCATTCCTAGAGCCTCAGACTCAGTATGTCCAGAAGCCACCTCCCTGCGGGCCTCCCTTGCATCTCCTCTGTGAGCAGCATGGCCTTGCCTGACCTTACCAACCCCAAATCTGGGAGTCATCCAAGACTCCTTCCTCCCTTGCCTCCTTAGAGCCATTCAGGAATCTGGCCCTACAAATCCTGCCTCCCTATTAACATCTCCCAGCTCTCACCTCAACCCCCCCCACCCCCAACCCCGGGCATAGTTCAGACCCTTGCAACTGCAGTAGCCCCCAAGCTCCCTCCAGTCCTGCCTCCCTCCACTTCATCCTCCGAGTTGTAGCCAGTGTTGAGTGTTCTCCAACACAGAACGCAGTCTGTCACTGCTCAGTTAAAACCCCCTGGGACTCCCCATCCCTACAGAAAGGCCAGTTCTTTGGAATGCACATGAAGCCTTCCCAACGGGGCCTCTGTGGAACCTCTTCACTGCACCCCGATACCCTGACCATCCTTGCCCCTTGGCCGCTCCCCTTGAATGTGTTCCACCGGGCCTCGCCTTGTCTTCACACTGTTCCCCTTTCCTGGAATGCCTGGTCCACCTAGGGCATACCTGCATATCTCTGAAAACTCAGCCTGGGTACCCCCTCCTCCGAGAAGCCTTCCCTGCACTTCTCTGACCCTGCTCCTACACCCGTGCACTGTCCAACTTCAGAGCTTGGGACAGGAGTCTGCCCCTCCGCCTCTATTTGTTATGTTCACACCCAAACTCTTGTCTCCAGCACCCAGCTCAGGGCCTGGTGAGTGACAGGAACTCACTTAATTTTTGCCAGTTAAGTTCTCTTCATGGGGAAAGACAGAAATGCAAGAGGCAGGGAAAGCCCAAAGCTCTGAGCTGGAAAATGGACTCAGTCCCACACTTCCCTTTGTTAAGATGTTAAATGTAAGTTAGTTTTAACCTCAGTGCCTCTCACCTAAGTTATGATTTATTGGTACTGGTGGATGAAGTCACAGCTGAAGACATTTATAAGAACCAACTAACCAGACCGCCTGCCTGGCTCAGTTGCTAGAGCACGCAACTCTGGATCTCAAGGTTGTAAGTTCAAGCCCCATGTTGGGTGGAGGGATTACTTAAAAAAATAAAATATTTGGGGCGTCTGAGTGGCTCAGTGTGTTAGGTGTTTGCCTTTGGCTCAGGTCATGATCCCAGGGTCCTGGGATCGAGTCCCACATCGGGCTCCCTGCTCCGCGGGGAGCCTGCTTCTCCCTCTGCCTGCCGCTCCCCCTGCTTGTGCGCTCTCTCTCCCTGACAAATAAATAAATCTTAAAAAAATAAAATCTTTAAGAAAACAAACCAACTAACCAGTATCCTAATGGAACAACTTATATTTTTGAAATATCACAGATATCAAAAGGGAGTGGAAAACTAGGCATCTTCTTTACTGCAGCTGCGTCTAGTACACAATCTGTTTCTCTTCTCTCTGGGCAAGCAATGGAACTAGGAGACTGTATCTGACTCTCACCCTTTGGTCCCAGTGCATTCATCCGACTATATCCTGAGACAGCTCCCCTTGTTTGTTTTAATTTTTTTTTTTTAAATACAACACACAGATAAGTGCGTGGAAGTGTAAGCTCACTGCACCTTTACAAACTGAACACACCCGTGTAACCAGCACCCAGATCAAAAAACAACTTCGCCACATCCCAGAATCCTCCTCGGGTCCCCTCCCAGGCAGTACTCTGTCCCCCTGCCCCCCTGCCCCTGTTCTCAAGCTGGGCGTAGTGGAGGGAGGGTTGGAGCTGGACAGACCCGGTTCTAGACACTTGTAGGACTACACGCCCTCACTTTTCTTAGAGATTCTACAGTTTGAGGCGGGTCATAATGAGACTGCTTTTTTTTTTTCATGGAATTTGACTTCCCTCAGGGTTGTGTTTATAGTTTATGATAAGCCACAATAGCTTACAGTGACAACATACGGAGTGGTGACCACAAACAGGCTGTGTGCTAAGCTCGACAGCCGCCCCACTTAATCCTGACAACGAGGCAGGGAGGTAAGGGAGGTAGGTCCGTACCCCCACTTTAGGACTGAGGAAGTGGGGGCTGGGAGGAGAGGTTCAATAAGAACCTTGCCCAGGGCCTGTTGCACTGCCAAAGCCCTGAGAAATACCTATGGGAAGAATGCAGAAAACAACAAAACGCTGAACTACAAATGGCAGAGGGCCTACAAGTCTTCTCCCGAGCCAGCTTCAAGAAGACCCACAACTGTCACCGGCCCTTCCTTGCACGTGCCCATGTGACCCGCTCTTCCCAGCCCTTTATCCCCAGCATCGGGGTCCTGTCTCATCACAGGGAGCTCTGCGGGGGCCCAGTGCTGGGCTTGCCCTCACAGTCCCCCACGGTCCGCCCCGGAGGTTTTCAAACCTCCCTGCTGCTGGGCCCTGTTAGGCTATCCCAAATTTCTGGACAGAAGAGTTGGGGCTTTCCTTTTCTCCACCCTCTTGACTGTGGCCCCAGGCCACAGAGGAAGGAGAAGGAGAAGGGCATGGACAACGGCCAGATTTTGAGACAGAGGATTTCCTAGCCTAGTGGAGAGTGAGGGCAGGTGGTGAGTTCCCTTTGGTTTCCACCCAGTCATCGGTGCAACCAAGCTCCTGCCTCTGGCCTGGGCAGTGACTGTGGCTCTAGGGCCTACTGGCCCCCGGATCCCCGCTCCTGCTGGCTCTTCCCAGCGTCCCAACTCGGAGAGAACATTCCATCCCTTCCCAGGCCCCGGGGCAGCTGTAGAACGGTTGTGGGGCGGGGAGTCTGGTTCCAAGGAAACACGGCCCAGGCCCTTCACACCTCCCAGGCCCTAGCAGACACAGCGTCTCTGCTGTTTACACTGTGGGTGTTGGAAGGGCACATGCCAGGAGGCCTCGGCGGTGGTACATTTGGACAAATTTGCCAGAGTTCTGGTCCCCAGCCTTTCTGGTGCAGAGCCTGGATTTCCTCAGTACACCCAGAGAAGACCGAATCCTGGGTGGGAGGCTCCTGTTAACGAAATTTCCAAGAGACCAACAGAATCTAGAACCCCAATTATCAATTTATAGGAGGGGCTCTCCCAACGCAAGCCAGCTTCGGAGGACCCCTTGTTCCTGGTCTTGAGTGACTGAAATGAATGGCTTTGTGATCAGCTAGTGCTTGAGCCGCAGGGAACGAAAGGAAGGGGTCATGTGAGGGACAGGCAGACACCAGCCACGAACCCTCTCAGCGGACAGACCCTGTGCTTCTAATCCCGCTTATCTTCTGCGCCCCCCAGGGCCATCTGCTCAGTGCCCAAGATTCCCTTGTTAACCCTTCTTCCAGGTTTCCCTGCTGACCATGTCCCCTTGTCCCCTTGTGCAGATCAGTTAGTAGCACTGGGTAACTTGGAGTGAAATGGATGACCCAGTGGGCCTAGGGAACACTAGTCTCCACTCATTACATGTGGCTGTGTCCCCCGAATTCCTCGAGGACAGGCTTAACTCCTTCCTCCGGAAATCCTCGTCTCCTCAGGCACTGCTTATAAACACCTCTTGTTCAATGTTTTTCTAAATACATCCCAATAATCTAGAAACCAGACTTGCTGAAACTGACCTACTGACTTTTTTTTTTTTTTAAAGATCTTATTTATTTATTTGACAGAGAGATAGAGAGAGAACACAAGTAGGCAGAGGGAGAAGCAGGCTCCCTGCAGAGCGGGGAGCCCGATGCGGGACTCGATCCCGGGACTCCAGGATCATGACCTGAGCCGAAGGCAGTCGCTTAACCAACTGAGCCACCAGGCGCCCCCACTTCTCATTTTGGCATCAGGTTCAATATGTATATGGCCCTTTTAAAGGTTTTATTTATTTATTTGAGAGAGAGAGAATGAGAGAGACAGAGAGCGCATGAGAGGGGGGAGGGTCAGAGGGAGAAGCAGGCTTCCCACCGAGCAGGGAGCCCGATGCGGGGCTCGATCCCAGGACCCTGCGATCATGACCTGAGCCGAAGGCAGACGCCCAACCGACTGAGCCACCCAGGCGCCCCTGACCTACTGACTTTTACTTGCCTCTCCCAGCTGTTCCAAAAGCTCCTGTGTGTCTCCCTCCCGCTCCTGCCCTGACATGTGCGGTGCAGTAGATGGAGTGCTGGGAGCCAGAGAGACCTGGCCGACCCTGTTCGAGACACAGTGGTGCCACCGACTAGCAGTCTGAGGAGGGCAAATCACTTCCGGAGGCCTCATTTTCCACACCTGCAAAACTGATGGCAACACTTGCTGGTCTCATTCCAGAAGACTGCCGGGAAGAGGGAAGTCACTCTGTGTGGCAGTGAACACTGAAGTCCTATTCTCTGAGATAATATTGATGACTCTGACCTACATGGAGCCTGCTTTCACCCAAAAATGGACCTGTCTCGGTGTCCTAGGACAACTGTCCTCCGAGGGACCAGGAGGCCACAAGTAGGAAAGTATGTCATCTAAGTAGACTTTTGGGGGTCCTTGAGTCCCGTTCTCTGAGGAGTGTGGCTCACAGCTTGAGGATGTGTATGCACGTCTTCTCCCTTGAAGTACTGGGTGTGGTGTTGATGGTGAAGGTGATATGACCTGTGTTTGGGGCTACACTCTCCATGCTTGATTTTGCTTCCAGTGAAAGTTCAATTTGCTCAGGAGCTCCCTGAGTTGAGGTAATAGTTGTGGAGTTGGATCAGTAATTTTCAACTTTCTTTCTTTTTTTTTTTTTTTAACAGCGGAAAATATGTAAAAGCAAAGCTGCTCTGGTGACTTGGTGGGAACCCAAAGCCTTCTCCTGGCCCAGACTCACAGCTGGACTTAGGACTTTCTGGAAAGCCCCTCTTGTCATCCTGTCCTTCCCTTGCCCACCCCTGCCCTCCTCAGGCTGCCCCTTCTGTGGGAAGAATCACAGCTTCACCCACCTCCAGTTGAGTTTTGGATCTTTCATCTGTTAAATAGGGAGTGAGACCTACTAATGCAGGATTCCTTGTCAGATCCAAACCAGATAAAATATGCAAGGTAGGTGCTCAATCAAGTACAGTTTCCTGCCCCCTTCCCCTGTGGCTGCACCTTCCTACCTCTTGGGTTCTCCCAGTTGCTCTCCAGTATTTCTTTCCAGCCATTCACTTTGAAGGCACCTTTTAGCACTTACCACACTGCATTGGAAATATGTGGGTTGTTCAGCGCAGCTTTTTAAAAATGCATCCTCTAGGGGCTCCGGGCCCACTCAGTCGGTGGAGCATGCGACTCTTGATCTCGTGGTTGTGAGTTTCAGCTCTATGTTGGGCGTAGAGATTACTAAAAATAAATAAAGAAAATAAAAATGCACCCTCTGCTGGACTGCATTCCTTAGAGGAGGAAGGAGGGTTTCACTTGGGCTAAAGTTGATGTTCCAAGACTGATTCTTGAATGAATAAGCATCAATAGTATCCATCTTGAATCTCCCAGGACTGTGCAAGCAGGAATGAGGGTGGTGTGGTGTGTGTGTGTGTGTGTTCATGTGTGTGTGTGTGTAAAGCATTACCACAGTGGACAACCATGTGTGGTGTGTGTGTGTGTATGTGTGTGTGTAAAGCATTACCACAGTGGACAACCATGTGGTGTGTGTGTGTATGTGTGTGTGTAAAGCATTACCACAGTGGACAACCATGTGGTGTGTGTGTGTGTATGTGGGTGTGTAAAGCATTAGCACAGTGGACAACCGTGTGTGTGTGTAAAGCATTACCACAGTAGACAACCATGTGTGGTGTGTGTGTGTGTATGTGTGTGTGTAAAGCATTACCACAGTGGACAACCATGTGGTGTGTGTGTGTGTGTATGTGGGTGTGTAAAGCATTAGCACAGTGGACAACCATGTGTGGTGTGTGTGTGTATGTGTGTGTGTAAAGCATTAGCACAGTGGACAACCATGTGGTGTGTGTGTGTGTGTATGTGGGTGTGTAAACCATTACCACAGTGGACAACCATGTGTGTGTGTGTGTGTGTATGTGTGTGTGTAAAGCATTACCACAGTGGACAACCATGCGTGGTGTGTGTGTATGTGGGTGTGTAAACCATTACCACAGTGGACAACCATGCGTGGTGTGTGTGTGTGTGTAAAGCATTACCAGAGTGGACAACCATGCGTGGTGTGTGTGTATGTGGGTGTGTAAACCATTACCACAGTGGACAACCATGCGTGGTGTGTGTGTGTGTGTAAAGCATTACCACAGTGGACAACCATGTGTGTGTGGTGTGTGTAAAGCATTACCACAGTGGACAACCATGCCGGAAAAGTACTTTCTTAAGTGGCAAAAAGTTGAATTAGAGTCTCGGCTTCATGCTCGCAGACCTCCTGCCTGCAAGGGCCCTTCTCCCCCTCAGTACCCCCGGGAGTGAGGGGAAGGAGTGCAAACACACATTCCGCCGGCTGGGTCCGTTCTAGTTGTGGCTCTGAACCCCCAGATCCAGCGTGCAGTGAGGTCCTACCCACCATTAATGATTCGTCTGAAACACATAGCCGCCTAGGCCGTCCCCACAGTTTATTGGCTAACGCTGCTGTCATTCTGCGGGCTCAGGCGGAGGCCTATGGGAAATGGAGTCCGGCAAAACCGAGTCCTTCTGGGGCTCGCGTTTCCGCTTCCGGTGTTTAGTGGCTGTCCGAATGTCCGGACTACGGGCCTGGGCTCGGGGTTCGGGGGTCGTGTGGGCACGTGGCGTGACCGCGGAGAAGGCGCGGGGGGCCCCGGGTACCCGTACGCGCAGGGCCTCGGCGGGCCCACGCAACTCTCAGCCGGGGTGCTGGCCGCCCTCGCCGAGGGGTGGGGGGCGTGGCCCGACCGAAAACCTGGGTCCCGCCGCTTCGGGCCCAGGCCGGGCGAGCCGTCCCCGGGCAGGATGCGCCCCTCGTGCTGGCGCCGCCCTCCTTCGCGCCGCCCACCGGACTCGGCGGGGACGACCCTGACCCTGTGGGCGCCGAGGCGACCCCGTCCCCAGGGCCCGCAGTTACCCAGTGAGGTTCCAGAGGTCTCCCGCGGAGCAGAGTAGTCTTCCAGTGTAAGTCACGCTCTGCGGGCCAGCGCCTCAAGTCCATGGCCAAGGGGCGGAGCCCCTGCTTCTTTTCCGCCCTACACCAGCTATGTGACCTTGGGCAAGTCCCGGGCGGGGGGGGGGGGCCCGTCTCTGAGCCATGACTGCCCAGCCGAAGTATCTCTTTAACTTTCCTGCCAGCTCTAACATCCTATATGAGTCTGTGTTTATAATCCCTGCTTTCCAAGCTTGTAACCTTAGCCAGGCTAAATCTCCCTGTTTGGGAGAGAGTTATTCCAGGACTGAGACTTGGGGTGCCCAATGCCGAGAGCCCAGCTAGAGATGGGGGCCTTGAGACCCTGGGAATCGTTGAAGCTTGGAGCCCGCTCCACCCGGGTGCTGCTCTCCAAGGTGCTGCTACCTTAGGCGCCGTCTCGTACTTGTCCTGCACATTCACTTCCGAAGACCAGTGGCTTGGGAGGGTGGGCGGTTTATTGTCCCCATTATCTCTCCAGCCCATCCTCATTGGTCAGTGTGGATAATTGACATTTTTCTCAGCCTCAAGTAAATCGCTATGCAAACAGAGCTTCAAGCTCCCCTACTTTCCAACCAGATCACCAGCCCTTGACCCTCCTCTCAAACTTCTGGAGCTGCCTCGCCAGTGACAGAGGGCCAGACTCCATGGGCACCGGGACTTGGGAAGGGGAGAACAGGAGAGTTCTTTTCTTCACCTCAGTCCTGCTGGGCTAACATTTGTGATTGTCACTTGCGTTCACTCTAATGTATCTCTGGCTCTAGAATTTCAAGTTCTACTTAGTGACTCCTATCTCAAGGTAGCTTCCCAGTGTGGTCAAGGAAGAGGTTTGAGCTTCAGAGCCCAGTTGCAAGGTTCTTCTCTGAGCTGAACAATGGCTGTAGCTGTGGACCAACAAATTCAGACTCCTCGAGTGCAAGAAGAACTTCGAATAGTGAAGCTGGAAGAGGATTCCCACCGGGAGCAGGAAATTTCCCTTCAAGGGAGTGACCCTGGACCAGAGACCTCCTGCCAGCGTTTTTGGCATTTCTGCTATCAAGAAACATCTGGACCCCAGGAGGCCCTCATCCAACTCCGGAAGCTCTGTCATCAGTGGCTGAGACCAGAGAAGTGTACAAAAGAACAGATCCTGGAGTTGCTCATGCTGGAACAGTTCCTGACTGTCCTTCCTCAGGAGACCCAGATCTGGGTTAGACAGAAGCATCCAGAGAGTGGGGAGGAGGCCATGGCTCTGGTGGAAGACTTGCAGAAAGAACCTGGAAGATGGGGGCTCCAGGTGGGAACCGGGCACCTTGTTCTGAGTAGTTAAAAGAGGGGAGTGGGAGAGACAGAGCGCCCTTGGTTTGCCAGCCAGATGGGTGGTGTGTAGTACTTCGTTCTTTGTGTCCTATGGCATTTGCTTATTCCCTGGGCCTGGTAGCCACAACTTCCCTTCCAAGCTCAGACTGACACTTCAGGGAATGCATAGCATTGGTTGTTCTGAGCATTGGTCCCTGCCATTAAGTAAGAGAATTGCTTAAAATGGCTTGCTCACCACTCTGGTTGAGGAGGAGCACCCAGAAGAACATAAAAGCTCTTTGTGTTGTTGTTGTTGTTTTTGGAGAATAGCTCTCATTCATCAGCAGCCAGCTTGAAGCAAGGGGCTTCACTGGTCTTTATTGACAATCTTGAACCTTTGCATCCTACTGAAAAATAGCTGTATTTTTGGTTGGCTGAGTTTTGCCCAGGGATTGACAGGAACAGCCCCAGGAGAGCTGGTGGGCAGATTGCAGTGAGCCTGGGTTCTAGACCTTACCTGTTAGTCTTCCACACACCCACGCTCTTAACTGCCCCTGCAGTGATTTGCATAAGGCTGATTTCCACCTTTGCTTCTTTGCATCTTGGGATGGTTAAGTTTTATTACCTACCAAATTTTGACTACTTCTAGTCCTTGAACAGGAGTAGGAGGTATACTCAGAGGAGAAGGAACCCCCAGGATCAGCACTGGGTTCCCTGAGGATCCATCTGAAGCAAGCACAGACAGGATCCATGTGTCTGTTACAGGCGATGGTGAAGAACTCACAGCCAGAACCAGAACAGTTGAATCACAGCCCCAAAGTAGAACTCCGATCCTTCCACAAGAGCGGTAAGCAGCCGCAGTTTGGGGAGGAAGGAAGGACCCTTCTGTGGAGAGGGTGTGAAAGTCCCCTCTGCGTGCGGAAAGTGGGATTTCTTTCCACTTGGAGGATGGGGCATGTGAAAGGTGGCTGACCACATGAATCTGGGGGAATCCCCAATAGGCACCGCCAAAGGGAAGAAAGGCCTTGGTTGGCATGTTTTGTAAAATTACATAGGGGAGCCTGGGGCGCCTTTCTTTATGTGAATGAGAGGTTACTGGTCCCAGTAGGTTAGGTGTGGGCACAGATTTTAGGCCTGATCGGTGGGAAAAGCATAAGGTAGGGTTAAACCAAAGTGCAGTAATTCTCAGAACAGGGACAAGTGTCCCCAGACCAATTCAGATGATGCAAGTGTGTTAGCAAAACTGAAGAAGAAAATCATAAACTGGGACAGTCAGTAACCTGGATGGATACGGAAGGGAAAAATCTGGAACTCTCCTCTTAGAAATGTGTCATTTTGGTTTTTCACCAACCTTCTTTGGAGGGCCAAAGCGGACACAAAGAGAAGGGGGAAGACTCTTCTGTTTCAGAACTAAGTTGGGCTAGTCCTCAAGAGGAGTCAAGAAACATTGTCTTCCAACAGCTCTTTTCTCTTCCCACAGTGCTGTCTGATCCTCCGGCTCTGGATCTTTCTGTGGAGGAGAGTGGTGGTGACCAGGGGATGATGAGCCCCTCCCAGGTGAGCCAGATTTTTCTCTTACTCAGGAGACCTTTTACTACTCCAGTGGGGGCCTTTTGCATCCAACTCTCTTGCTTATCAGAAATGCCAAGGCAATTTTAGCCAGCAGGGAGGTCCAGTAACTTTACAGATTAGGCTTCACAATTTCATCCACCAGAAAAATGTTGTCCAAACCTCCCTTTTGCTGTAAGGCGGCACCACAGCTGGTGGGGAGGAATTGCATTAAAGTCATTCTTTTCCTTGACCCTGAGATCGTAAGATTATGTTGATTTTCTTGTTTGCCTTAAAAGGAATGGTTATTTCCTTCTTTCTGTATCAGAATCTTGCCCACATGGTATGCGGGACTGCGTGTGCGGGTGTGGGTGCGGGGTAGCGGGGCACAACAACTTCAGAGTTAGACAGCCCTGAGTTCAAATCCCAGCTCTGCCACATACTGACTGTAGAACTTGGAGGAAGTGTGAAAAGTTCCCAGCACAGTGCATAGGTGTTCAGTAAATGTTAGCTTCTTTCTTGCCTTGCTTCCTCTCCCTCTCTTCCCTTCCCCTGCCCCCTATTGCATTTTTTTGAAGATTTATTTATTTATTTTGAGAGAGAGCGTGAGCAAGTGGGGAGAGGAGCAGAGGGAGAGGGAGAGAGAGAATCCCAAGCAGACTCCCCGCTGAGCTCAGAGCCTGAGTGGGGCTCAATCTCATGGCCCCAAGATCATGACCTGAGCCGAAATCTAGAGTCGGATGCTTAACTGACTGAGCCACCCAGGCACCCCGGCCCACACTGCATTTAAAAGTCAAAGAAATCTCACGTTTCAGTTTCTTCTGAGTCTTTTTTGTTACTGGGCCTCTGATGAAGGCAGCATATTTTGAATAGGGTGTTATGTTTCCTCAGGAGTTGATGACATTCGGTGATGTGGCTATGTATATCTCCCAGGAGGCATGAAGGCAGCCAGAACCTGGGTGGAGGAACCACCTGGAAAGAAGTTGGGAGAAATCCGCAAACGGGGCCCCGATGGGTAAGACTGCTGTTTTCCCGTCCAGTAGAAGTTGGCTGTGGAGTTTCCGGAGTAGTCACTACTCCAGATCTTTTTGGGTCAAATTTTTCAAGTCCCTCAATCCTGCTTGAACAGAGACTGATAAATCTAATACCAAAGTCAGTGCTATCAAGGATGAGTTTCTAGAGCCCAGAGAGGATACTGTATTAAAGCTTGTCTTAGGAAGATGGCCAGTAAAGCCTCTGGTGGGAACCTGAATTTTATTTGTTACAGGACAGATGAACGTGTACAGATAGTTCTAGATTTGGGCCTGGACTTTTTCCCTCACAGTCCTTAATATTACTTTCACTGAGGATTCCCAAGAATCCCCTTAGACTTTAAAAAAAAATTAATCGTATCTCCCCTCCCTGGTGTATAAAGTGGTTGGGATTAGATGTAGCTAACCATTGTGTCTTCTCTTTGTCTCCCTGCAAATAGACTTGCCCCCCCACTGACCCAGTGTCAGCTCCTGCAGGGAGCAGGAGGAAACCCCACAGAGCCCAGATCTTCAGTGCTCCAGAGAGGAGGAAAGCGCCAGGGACTCCGCAGCGGGTGGGGGAAGAGTCCAGCCTGGCCCCTTGCCCATCCCAAGAAAAGCCAAGACCTGGGAGGAGCTGGAGTGGCAGGGCCTGGAGGATGAGAAGGTGGCAGGTGTGCACCGGGACTATGAGGAAACCAAGATTTTTTTGGGAATTCTCAGTGAGTCCTGGATCCGTGAGAAATTGCGCACCTGCCACCGGAACCGCCAGGTGTACCGGCTGGTGGCCAAGCGGCTACGCGAGCGCGGCTTCCCACGGACCCTGGAATAGTGTCGCTACTGCTTCAAAAACCTCCAGACCCACTACCGCAAAGCCAGGAGCAGCCAGGCGCCGGGCACCTGCCCCTTCTACCAGGAGATGGACACCCTGATGAGCCCCTGGACCCTTGCCGGCACCTTTGACGCCTTAGAGGTGGCAGGAGGCCTTCTGCGGGACAGAGGGGACTCCGAAGAGAACCAGAGGCCGGCTGGCAGCCGTGACAGGAGATGGTAGTGAACTGGCGGCCAAGCCCCAAGGGGAGCCCGGGAGCCTTGCTCCCCCGGCTTTCAGGGGGAGTTCCAGTGGTAAGCGCCCCTCCCCCGGTGCCCCCCAGAGCAGTGGGAGAGGGCAAGTGTCGCAGGAAAGCATTAGGGACTGTGAAGCAGGAGAGACGCTTGTTGTCTGTCCCTCTGGCGTGGCCTCGTCTGGAGGAAGATTGTTGATTCCTTTACCGAACACAGGTAGCGCTACAATCAGCCCTCCGCTGAAGCCGTCCCACGGGCTCACTCACAAAGGGTCTTGCCCTGCTCTACAGCAAAGGGCTCTCCCTGTCTGCTCTCAGTAACGGCATTATAGAAACAATACTTAGTGACAGTTGTAGGAGGAAAGAGAGGTTGGAGTGACCTACAGTTCCAGTTGTTCATTTCCAGCTAAAGTACCCCATCCGTGTGAACTTTGCGCAGATTATAGACAGCAACCTGACGGCTTAAGACTTGTCTGCTCTTGGGCAAACTGGTTACACACCTGAAGCCTCCGTCTTCTCATCTGTAAGATGGACATAGTGACAGTATTTGCCTCACTGGGCGGTTTCGAGGATCCTGGCCCCTGGCTAGCACTCAGGAAATGCTTGTTTTCATTATCGTGAGCGTTGCAATTATTGTCAACATAGAGGAACACCTTGCCCTGTACTCTTCACTAAGGGGGCATATTTCCTGAGTCATTAACTACACATTTTCTTCTGACAACTAGACTTTCTGGGAGGTGCTTCTGTGCTCATCTCAGCTACCACTTCCAGATAGGAGAACAGAAAGCAGACTATGTAGGAACTCCATGTCCCTTCTTGCTTTTCCTTGAGCAGGATTTCTGGTTCCCCAGCCAGATGGGGTCTCGAGGCTGGAGAGAAGTGAAGAGCTTTGGAATGACAATCTCTGGGACTTTTGGGAAACTTCCTGTTCAGGTGGGAAATGAGTGAAAGCTAGCATGGCACCAACCGAGAAGTCAGACCAGAATTCTGAATGCGGACAAGGCAGCACCAGGCTGGGAGAGCACCCACTCCCTGGGCCTTCCCGGTTTATTACTCTGAGGTGCTGAAACCACAGGCGGTGGGAGAAGAACAGAAAAGGAAGTGGCACCAGGAAAGCCTGCTCCCCTTCGTTACCTTGGCTCATAAATGTAAACAGATTATTAGTGTTTATGATTTCCCTCTTAAATTTTTCTTTTCCTTTTTTTTTTAAAGATTTTATTTGAGAGAGAGAGAATGAGAGAGAGCGAGCACATGAGAGGGGGGAGGGGCAGAGGGAGAAGCAGGCTCCCTGCCGAGCAGGGAGCCTGATGCGGGACTTGATCCAGGGACTCCAGGATCATGACCTGAGCCGAAGGCAGTCGCTTAACCAACTGAGCCACCCAGGCGCCCAAATTTCTTTTTTAAAAATGCCCCCTTTATTTATTTTTTCAAGTATACTCTGCCTGCAGTGTGGGGCTCGAACTCATGACCCTAAGATCAAGAGTTACACACTCTACTGACCGAGCCAGCCTGGCGCCCCTCCCACTTAAATTTATATCTGACTTTTAACTATAATTAACTGTCGTTTAAGTAGGTTAATAGAAAAAGTGAGCCTTGGCAACCCCAAATTAAACAATAGTCAACCTTAGATTATTGGAGGGGTGAATTTCTCATGGTTAAGATGAGCTTCTCTCCTTGGTGGGGCTTGGTCATTCTGCTGGAATTTTAGGGGATCCAATAAACAGCACTGTTCATCCCCCAGATTCTAGGCCAACCAAGAACCATAAGAGTAAGACGTTGAGATCAAAATGTCAGCTTTCTAACTGCTAGAGCTGTTGGACAATGTGGCTTGATGTGTGGCCACAGTGGGCTTCCTCACACGGAACCCCACATTGAGCCGCGGGCAGCCCCAGACGACCACAGCCTTGCCCTGCCAGCACAGAATCGTCACTGCTGGTCTTCTGAGCCACGTGTGCTCAGCTCCTTGTTAGTTGAAGAAGTCCTTCCTCCTGCTTGAGGAGCGAGGGGACGGAGAGAGGCCAGAAGTGTTCTCAGGCTTGTCCCTCTGCCTAGAAGGCAGTATCAAGAAGAGAAAGGTAGCTTTTTATTTTTTATTTTTTTTATTTTTTTAAAGATTTTATTTATTTGAGAGAGAGAATGAGATAGAGAGAGAGCATGAGAGGGGGGAGGGTCAGAGGGAGAAGCAGACTCCCTGCTGAGCAGGGAGCCTGATGCGGGACTCGATCCTGGGACTCCAGGATCATGACCTGAGCCGAAGGCAGTTGCTTAACTGACTGAGCCACCCAGGCACCCCAAGAAAGGTAGCTTTTTAGTACTGATTGCCAGCCCACAGGTGGATGGGAGGAGAGGAGGAGCCAAGCTCGGGGGCAGAGCTTTGAGGAGTGGGGAGAGGAAGAAATAGGTCTGGACCTTGCCCACCTCCCTTTCTTCAGCCTTTCTCCACACGATCTTTTTGTTTAGAAGCTGGGGAGGGAGGGAGACCTGCAAGTCGGCTGTCTTAACCAGGGTTCAGCCATAGTCCAGTTTCTTGGTTCCTGGTTAATGGAAAGCTGACTGTGTTCTATCTGTCGCCATCAAGAAATTGTTTCTCAGCGTCCAGGAGGGGCCTCTTTCACGTTGTTTGCATTCTTCTGAGCTCAGAAAGCAGGTCACATTTGTGGTTTCATCTCATTCTTTCAGATCTTGAAACAAGGACACAGGACAAGGAGAATTCAAGCCAGGACATGTCAGAGGAAGCAGAGCTCCAGGGGGCGCTATTAGAGAGACCCAAAGCGGATCCTTCCCTGGCCAGGACAGACTGGGAAGACAAACATGGGGCGGAGAGGCAGTGGGAAGTACCCTTAGAAGATGGACAAGAGGCACGCTCCCCTCCAGAAGGAGACGTAGGTAAATTCATAGGCCCTCAGGGAACCTACATAGGAGGAAAGTCCTATCTCTGCTGTGCGTGTGGAAAACAACATGGCAACCAGGGCTCACGCTTTGCTGTGCACAGATTAGCCCACACTGGGGAAAAGACACCTTCTAAGTGTGGCCGTTGTGGGAGAAGCTTTGGCCGAAGTTCACATCTGGTTTGCCACCAGAGAATCCCCACCGAGGAGAAGCCCTACAAATGCCCTGAATATGGGAAGGGCTTCAGTGATCCTTCTAACCTCACATCACATCAGAGAGTCCACGCTGGAGAGGAGCCCTATAAATGTGGGGAGTGCTGGAAAAGCTTCAGCCAGAGCTCCAGCCTTACTATGCACCAGAGAGTCCACACAGGGGAGAAACCCCATAAGTGCAGCGAGTGTGGGAAGAGGTTTACCAATAGCTTGTGCTTCAGTGCACACTGGCAAACACACGCAGGCGAAAAACCCTACCAGTGCCCTGAGTGCAGGAAAAGGTTCAGCAAGAGTTCCACGCTCACCAGCCATCGGAGGATCCACACAGGAGAGAAACCCTATGCATGTCTCAAGTGCGGGAAAAGTTTCAGCGACTGCTCAAACCTCATTACCCACCGGCGAATTCACAGTGGAGAGAGACCCTATGAATGCGGGGAGTGTGGGAAAAGCTTCAGTCAGAGCTCCAGTCTCATCATCCACCGGAGAATCCACACCGGAGAGAAACCCTACGAGTGTGCTGAATGTGGGAGGCGATTCAACAACAGCTCACATTTTAGTGCGCATTGGAGGACCCATGTGACAGAGGCTCGAAGTGTAGTAGGAATGTCTTTAAAGCACCAAGTCTAAGAACACCGCAGAATCCGTTCCAAAAACTGTTTGTACGGTCCTTGATTCTATACCATGACACCCACATGAGATGGAGAGAAAGAATTTAGACCCAGTCCAATAGATGTTATTTTTGTTTCTCTCTCTAAACACTCACTTGGCTAATGAAATACTCCTCAGGGCTTTTTTCTCCACGCTGTTGAAATGGGAGCTCCTGTGGAGAGAATTCAGAGACTAGTTCTGAATTTGACTGGATCTCCATCACAGTACGTCTCCATGATGATCCTGTGCCTTAATTTCCACAGCTCGGTATGATGAGGGGGACAGTCCCGTCCCCAAGACCCTCCTCTGGGGACAGAAGTTTCCGCCTTGTGGCGCTGGGCAACTAGACAGGGATTTATGAATTACATACAGTTTTAAAGGTCTTTCATGGTCCTCCCTATGGGAAGATTGGGGCCTGGGAATTGCGGACATTTCTCCACGTTCCTTAAGATTTACATGGAGTTACTGGAGAGAAAAGCACTCGATCGTGTCATTTGGAGGAGGGAAGAGGAGAAAAGACCAACGCTGGAGGCTGGCTTTCTAAACCATAACCTACTCTTCCTCTCAACATACTAGGTTGAACCATATGAGATAGCCATTTTGAGCTCCCAAACCAGCAATTTCATGATTCAACCTAAACAGACTTTTTGCAGAATAGAATTACCCCAGATTGCCAGCAGAGCTGCTTACACAGCTTTACAGCTCCCACTGTGTCCTAAAATATAAGCCTGGGTCTAGGAGATCACAAACAGGATAACATAAGCCTTGTCTCTAATCTGTAAATATGTCCAGAGCAATAACTACGAACCACGGCATCGATCAAGGCTCCCAGTTGGAGGATCTGCCTGTCACCGGCCTCTGACGAGCTCCCTCGTTCCTACGGGGGAGGCCATGTGCAGGTTCACAGGTTTTTGAAGATTTGGGGTGTCTCTGCGAGAGCAGAGCACAGTTCCTGGGGGCACTCTGACACAGCAAATGGTGCTTGGAAATAAGTGGAATACACTTTTTCCCTCTTAAAATAGTTTCCTTTGGGGCACCTGGGTGGCTGGCTCCATTGGTTAAGTGTCCGGCTCTTGATGTCAGCTCAGGTCTCAATCTCACGCTTGTGAGTTCAAGCGGGATAAATCAACGGGATTTAAAAAAAAAAAAAAAGTTTCCTTTGTGCATTTGACTTGAAAATATTTCCCCAGAACTTCCCAGAAACCCACCAATTATAAAACAAAGCACTGTCGACACATGACAATTTCATTTAATTAGATTTATAAATATGATTATGTAATGAGTTTTTTTAATGAACACCAAAGAACTTATTCAAATAAGTGTTATCTATCAAAAGCAGTCATTCTGATGGGCTGTGGGCTTTATATGTTGTTACCATTACTGAAGACATTGAATTTTCCTGTAAGAATTGTCTTCCAACCACCCTAGAAGGCCCCCTATCAGCGTATTTCTGGCACGGAGCAGTGTCCTGCACATAAGCAAGGCTTAATAAACACTGACAGACGAGCTTGTTTGTCATCTAGCCTGATCGATCACTTCTCTTATCCATGAGACTTGGCTCTGCCCAATATCTGCTCTCTGAAAACAGATTCCCTTCTAAGGATGTCAATTTGCTGCCATTGAGGAGACTTCAAAGAGCCTATTTTGGGGGGATAGTTTTCAAAAAGCTATCCCAGAAATTTGAGTTCAGGATTTTTTTTTGTAAGGCCAGGAAATAAATCTGATATGTATTATTTTAAATCATTTCACTCTTCTGAATGAGAACGGCTCTACTTGGGTGGAAATTCATCATACTAAAACCAGTGTGGCTATGCATTATAAAAAGACTTTGGAAATAACCAGATTCCCTTTTGGAAACTTTTGCCATCATCCTTTTTTGGAATGGAACAAGGAGATTCAAATAGAATATCCATACAATTTTCTCTCATGTGTATTTTCCCCTTAGCAAAGTAACGGGAAGACTGAGCTGGAGACTGTAGATCTTTCTTCCGGATTTTACAATCCCTGAAGCAATAGGATCTGCAAGACCACGGCTCTCGGTGGTGCCTGCAGTTAGTTCTCAAGGGAAGACTAGAGCAGGGAGTTAGCATGAGCTGACTCACATGGAGAGGCTTCCCGGGGAACCAAACGCAGTATGTACTCCTTGCAAGGTCTGGACTTTGATTTGAAACTAGTCATTTGTTACCTTGCTCAAGAGTGTTTTGATTTACCTTTTTGTCCGCCACGGTACTCGGCATGGGCAAAGCTCTGGGGGCTTTTATTTTTAGCTCAACTCAGACTCACAATCACGGCTTCAAAGTTTCTGAACCAGGCAAGCAGTGTGGCTTTTGGAAGCTGCCTCCTTGGAAATCCCTCAAGATGAAAACAATAATGAAAGTTCTAAGTGGGAATGCCTGAAATTCACTTTTTTTTTTTTTTTTTTTTTTAAGATTTCTTTGTCAGAGAGAGTGAGAGAGAGAGAGAAGCGAGTGCACAAGCAGGGGGAGTGGCAGGCGGAGGGAGAAGCAGGCTCCCTGCCAAGCGGGGAGCCCGATGCGGGGCTCGATCCCAGGACCCCGGGATCATGACCTGAGTTGAAGGCAGATGCTTAACCGACTGAGCCACCCAGGCGCCCCAAAATTCTAACAGTTGCAGTAGATGACACACAGTCAATCCAATTATGCGTTGCAACATTTTAACTGAATTTTAACTGAAGCTCATAGCAAAAATACTGGCCCATATTTTCATTTACAGATAGCTAGAAACAGGAGGTGGGTTTCAGAAGCTAATCCTGCTAGCGGAAGCTGGAAGCTGATGCAAGTATGTTCACCCAATAAATAAATGAATTCCAAGCGCATCCTGTGAGTGGAATGATCAAAGGGTGAGCCATTTTCATCAGGTTATAGACACAGCCCCGGGGTAGAGGCTTTGTGAAGCTGAGGGCCCCCAGGGCTGCAGGTGACCTAGGGCCACCCCCCCACTCAGCCCAGCATGGGGCCCCCCTCACTGGTTTTGATAGCTCTGCTCTGCCCACAGAGAACCGACCCTCTCCCTTTACGTCTCACCAGGACTCGAGCCTCCCAGGGCCCTCACAGCTCTGGGAGGCCTCCCGTCAGGAAGGCAGGGCAGAACAAGGCAGCTCGGCCCGCTGCATATTCAGGGAGGCCGGCCCTGCGCTGAGCCCTTTGCCGCGGGGGGTCCTGTAACTATCACAGCCACCGCAGGTGCGGGGTCACCACGCAGAGCTGGGCTTTGGGCCCTGATGTGACTGCACCATGGGGAGGGGGTCCTGACTGCCCTGTATCAGCCCCCAGCTGTGCACTGTTGGGAGCCACAGCGGCTCTGGGGGTTGGCCTGTAAAGTCTGCACACAAGGGAATGATTGTGTGCTCAAAATGACCCTTGAGGGCCCCTTCCCTAGCCCAGGAGGCAAGGACAGTGTCTCGGCCTGTGAGACGCTCCTGTGCTGAAGGCCCACGGGAGCAAACCCTGCAGGGAGCTGCAGGAGCCCGTCTCCCACTGCCGCTCTGGACAGCTGGGCCCTTTCGCCCAGGGGCCGCCTCCCCGTCCGGGCCGTCACCTCGCTGCGCCCCATGTTCTCATCTGCAACACAGGGAAGGGCGGAACCGTCACTCCTGGTTCCGAGGTCCGATTCCCCAGACACCTCGCCATCATTCACAAGCCGTCACTGTGAGCCCCGGGCCAGGGCGCGCCTCGGCACTCGGCTAAATAGGAAGGGTTCTAAGGCAAGCTAGCGCACTTAAATTCTTGGCCGCTCCCCTTCACAGTATCCTTCAGTGCGATGTAGAACGCCAGATTTGTGTGGGTTTAAGTTTAAAATTGTTGTTTTCAGGATATTCATAAGATTGTGCAACTGTCACCACTATCTAATTTTAGACCGTTTTCTTCACCCCAGGAAACCCTAAACTCATCAGCAGGCACTCCCCAGTCCCCACAGACCTCATCCTCTGGCCACCACTCCTCTCCCTTCTGCCTCTCGGGACAGGCCTGTTCTGAATGTTTCCCGGAAATGGAGTCCTACAGCGAGTGGCCTTTTGTGATTGGCTCCTTCCCCTCAGCGTCCTGTCTGCAGGCTCATCCACATGGTGCCAGGAGTCCAGGCTGCAGTCCTCCTTCCGGCCTGTGATACCCCAGCACACGACACACCACACTGTCAGCGCCTTCATCAGCTGGAGGACATCATCAGCTGGCTTGTTCCCTCTGTGCTTATTGTGGGTCACGTTGCCATGAATGTTCGTGTACACCTTTTGACAAGTTTTGTGTGGACACATGTTTTCAGTTCTGGTGGATAAATACCGAGGCGTGGAATTGCTGGGCCATAGAGTAACTCAAGGTTTAACCTTTTGAGGAAGGGCCAGCCTTCTTTTCCAAAGAGGCCGCACCATTTGACATTCCACCAGCGGTGTACAAGGGTTCAGATTTCTCCACGTCCTCCCCCCCAAATTGGGTATAGTCTTATTTTTTTTAAAGTCATCTCTACACCCAGCGTGGGGCTTGAACTCACAGCCCCAAGATCAAGAGTCGCATGCCAGGCGCCCCTAGTCTGTCTTTTTGGTTCTAGCCATCCTGGAGGGCGTGAAGTGATGAAGCCAGGTTCCGAATGTACTGCGGACTCCTGCATGGTGCAGGATGGCAGGTGTCGGTGTGGGATGAGGGGCCCCTGCCCCACCCACTCTGAGCCGGGAGAGGCCCCCCCAGCCCCCCACAAGTGCGCAGGTGCCCCAGTGTGTGCGCCCGTGGGCTCCGGCCACACTCCCCACCAACGGCCACTCTGGCCACCTCTCGGGCCCAGTGTGCACATGCCAGCTGCATAGCCAGCCCTCGAGAGGACGGAATGGAAGAGGGTGTGCAGGCCCTGGACGCAGACTCTGGCCATTCGGACAGGACGTTCTGGGTCCTGGGTGCCAGGAAGATGGTCTGGCGGAGGGATGTAGGCTCTGTGGGCCCACAGCCGAGGCCCGTGGCCTTCTCACCCCTGGAGAAGGGTATGGCTAGAGGAGGGCTGGATGGGGCTGGGCCCCCTAGAGCACCAGGCCCTGGCATCCACTTTTTAAAAAGTGTGATAAAACATCCACAACATAAAAGTTGCCATTTTACCATGTTTAAGTGTACAATTCAGTGGCGTTAAGTACATTTGCATTTCTGTGCAGTTATTACCACCCTCCAACACCAAACCTTTTTCATGGTCCCAAACTTTTCAGTGAATCCATTCCGCACGAACTCCCGTGGCCCTGCCCCAGCCCCCGGCCACCACTATTCTGCTGTCTCCGCCAACTGGCCTGTTTTAGGGCCCTCGTGCAGGCACCATCACACATCTGTCCTTTGCGTCTGGCCTACTTCCCGGCACCCACTCTGCCCACGTCCAAGGGGCGGCGCTGGGCAGAGAAAATCTGAACCACCTCACTGACCGGCTATGCTTCCTGGAGGAAATGCAGCGCCAGCAGTAGCCGAGCACCTGCGGACCGACGGCCGCACACGTGCGCGGCGGTCACACCTGCGCGCTCTTCCTGCCGCGGGGAGGCCGGCAGCCCCGCAGCCCGACATGCGCAGTAGCCGCCTCCCGTCTCCGCCCTCCCTCTGAAGCCCTCGGCGACGCCCGCGCTCCCGCACACACGCAGGGCCTTCACCGACCGGCCCCAGCCCGTTTCTCAGCCGAATTTCCAACTTGCTCTCTCCCCGGGCTGGGGCTGGGCGCTCTCTCGCTTCCCTCTGCCTGGAACACCCCACCCTCGCTTCGCCTGAGGGAAGGACACAAATACCCCTTTCCTGATCACACCTGGTCTCAGCCCTCTGTGCTCCCAGGTCACAGGACCCCCTTCCCTCTACCAGGGGGTCCTCAGTCCCCCCCCCCCCCCCGGCGGCGGGCCGGGTCTGTACGTCTGGACCTCCTCTCCCAGCAGCCAGCCGGGTGCCTGGCGCACAGCCACGCGCCGTCAGTGCTGGAACCTCTAGCCTCCCCGCCTTCTCCACAGCTGCGGGACACCCGCGTCCCTCCCTGACCCCAGCGACTGGACCGGCGGACAAGAGCCAGTCACAGCCAGCACGTGTGGGGGGCCGGTTCGCGTTTCCTTCACCCCCGCAAACTTTACTGGCCCCGGCTGAGCACGAGCCTTAGGCTGCTGGTTTCCTCCTCACCTGCGTGCGCTTCTCTCTCCACACGGGCGCGTGCCAGGGCTCCTTCCAGACTTGTTCCCGCTCCGCAGAAGCCAGGCTCCCACACGTGGGGTGCCCTTGGCCCTGACCCCGCTCTCCCTGTCGGACTCTGATGAGAGACGTGCGGATGGCTCGTCCCGGGAATGGACTGCGGGCCCTGCGTCTCCCGTCCATGGCTGCGGCCAGGTGGGGAGGGCACGTCAGCCTTCCAGACAGGGGCGGCGGCGGGAGGCGGGGCCCGGGAAAGGGGGGCTGCGCTGAGCCCCCCCGGACACGGCCTTGGAGAACACCCCTTACTCCCCTTGAGGGGCCTCCTCCTCCGGCCTGCCCATCTCCTTGACCGCGGCACGCTGCTCGGGAACACGCGCTTCCCAGCACGCGCAGGCGCAACGGCTGCCCCCCAGCGGCGGTCCTCACCGGCGCGGCCTTGCCGTGCGCTGGGTTTCTTGCTTCCTCCTTTTTAGCCTCTCCAGATCTTTCTCTTGCGTTTTGAATTTCTGTGGGGCCAAAGCAGTTCCTGAACGCTCTCTCCCTTCCGTGCTGAGTCTCCGCCGTCTTTGCCCAGAGCTGAACTGGAGCGGATCCTGTGCTGATGTCGAGGCGCATCGCGCATGGTCTTCGGGCCGCTCTCGGGGTTCTCTGGGGCTTCTTCCTAGAGTAGCTGAGAGAACGCGGCGTTCCTCCCCAGGGACTGTCTGTGTAGGTTCCCAAAGGAACATTCTGGAAACTGGAGGTGAGGATGTGTGGCTGTCCCACAAACTGGAAGCACAGCTGCCATGTGGTGGCAGGGGCCACACGGACGTAAGGCGAGCGTTGACACGGTGCTGCACAGCCAAGGCTGCCGGGCGTGCGTGGAGGGCAGGGACGCTCGGGGTGGTTCACGGACTCGCAGCACGAGCAGCACCTGGAACTTACTCAAAATGCAAATTCTCGAGCTGCACCTCCTAATGCGGTGACTTGGCCAGGTGGAAGCACATTCCCTGGAATTCATTTCCCGTATGTTTCCAGGTAGAGTGAGCCACAAGAGTCGTTTTGGGGTGAGATTTGGAGGAATTGAAGTGGCAGCCATTGGTTTTGAACGCTTGGGCCCTGGAGCAGGTGCATCTGTGGCTCACACTAGCGCTTTTGTGCACGCAGCGCTCTATGTTCCCGTGGTCCCTTCGGCTTCTCCCGGGCCTTGGGCCGCAGGTGTGTTTAGCTCCGTGGTGAAGGGTGCAGTTCCTCCTGCAGGAGACGCACATCATCAGGACTGCAGATGGCGAGACCAACCTGTCCCTGCTGGTCCTGGCTCTCCCCTCTTCCATCCACCTTCTCTTTCCAGCTGCCTGCCAGGGGGCAGGGGGTGGGGGCCCCGGCTCCAGCAGCAGACACGGGGACAACAGCCTCACAGAAACTGCTGACCCAGCTCCGCGTTAGGTAAGGTCAAGTCTGTGTGTGCGTGTGTGAAAGGTCTCCTGCTGGCCTGCCCCTCTCACAAAAGCCTGGCTAATACTCCTACCGATCACAAACCCTGGAGCTCAGCAATCCGTTTTAACCAGTCCTCTAGGTGATTCTGACACATGTGGAAGTTCGAGAACCACCGATGCAGGGAAACTTTTTATAGTTATGTGAGCCTAGAACCTACCTTTTTACATCTATATGAGGACAGTTTTAATATATCTGAATTTCCCAGAAACTCAACTACTATATAAAACTAGGGAAAAGAGTACATTCTTTTGTTCAGAACTTTCCCAAGTGTTTGTTTTATTTATTTAAGTAAACTCTACCCCCGACTCTACCCCTCGAACTCACAACCCCAAGATCAAGAGTCACACGCCCCACTGACCGAGCCAGCCAGGCACCCCTTACCAGTTCAGAAAAATGTCGACTCTCTGGTGTGAGTCACAAATACAGGACACCTGTATCAGTCCGTAGTTGTAGCTGTCCTGTTCTCAATGATTTTACAGAGCAAGCATCTGATGACATCCCTGTGCAGAAGTGTGAACATTTCTGTATTGTACACATTCTTTTGTAGTTATACTTGTTTTGAAACTGTTTGTAAGTAATCAATTTTCCCTGTAACATTTTATTTCAGGACAGTAAATGGGTGTTCACAGAAGGCATGTTGGAGCTGACAGTGTTGAGGGCCACTGTCTGATATTATGAGCTTGAGTGTGTGTGTGTGTCTATGAGCACAGTTTCTGGGCCACATTTTGGTATTATGATTATAGGAATTGGCTAGTTCCCCAGATTTTTTTAAATGAAAATGTCTCTAGTTGGGACACCCGAGTGGCTTAGTTGGTTAGGCATCTGACTGGCTCAGCGTCCTGGGATTGAGCCTCGCATCGCACTGGGTTCTGCGCTAAGTGGGGAGTCTGCTTCTCCCTCTCCCTCTGCCCCTCTCCCTGCTTGTGCTTTCTCAAATAAAATCTTAAAAAAAAAAAAAAAACAAACCCAGAAAGAAAACGTCTCTAGCATGAGAATTTGCTGTTCTTTAAAAGTCTGAAAAAAATTGTAACCACAAAATTGCCCCACCCCCAACGTCCTTTTTGGTGCTAGTCTTTCAAGTTTTAATTTTTTAAAAAGATTATTTTTATTTTTATATTATTTATTTTTTATTTTTTTTATTTATTTTTAATTTTTTTGACAGAGAGAGAAACAGCGAGAGAGGGAACACAAGCAGGGGGAGTGGGAGAGGGAGAAGCAGGCTCCCCGTCGAGCAGGGAGCCCGATGCGGGGCTCGATCCCAGGACTCTAGGACCATGACCCGAGCAGAAGGCAGATGCTTTACGACTGAGCCACCCAGGCGCCTCTCCAAATTTTTCTTTCTTGAGTATTGAAGAATTCAGATTTTCTACTAAAAAGTAGTTTACAAATACCAGTTTTTAAGAAAATTAACTGTATCTTGAGCTTTTCAAATTAACATAGAATTTTACATTGTTTTAATTTCTTTTTTTTTTTTTCTTCCTTTCTCTTGCTTAATTCGTAGAGGTTTAGATGTGGTGCCAGTCATCTGTCTGTCCTCAGACCCATCCGGTTCCGTCCCCCCTGCTCTGTACTGCAGGTGCAGGCTACCCTGCTGGCGAGCTCCCGTCACAGCTGGTCCATGGCACAGGCAGGCTATGGGAGGGCCGCGGGAGAGGAACCAGGGGACCTCCCCGTCTCTGTACTTTCTGCAGTCTTCGGCTGTCTCCTCTGCAGTCCCAGCTCCGGCTCCAAGGTCCCAGCCCCAGCCAGCAGGATTGCCATGCTCCCCTTCCCACTGGGAGGCCCCAATGTTCACCTCTGGTCACACCCATACCCCACCCCTTTGTCCCTCTGGCTAACTTCCTGCTTTGCTCTTCTCTCATGGGCCCCACCTTCCCCTGCATCCTCTTTCAGATGCCTCATAACTGAATTCCTGTAGCTGAATTACTCGGTGTGGGTTCAGTCTTTCTAGCTGGGCCTTGACTGACTGATAGGCATTTTATCACTATTTTTCAGCAGCTTTTGAATTCATGCATCAATTCTACTATTTTCTAAATGACTCATTTCTGCTTTTATTTGGTGAAATAACAGAGCTTAGCCAGCGGTATGCTGTAGTATTTGCCAATTTCTGTGGGTAAGTATTTCCATCATGGCCGATTTCAGCAGTCAGTGTGATGTCACTAACAGCTGAGAAGAGCTCTACAGGATCAGCTCTCACAGGGGAGTGGGGGGTGGGGGGAAAGGATAGAAAGAAGACTTTAGAAAAATGGTAAAAATGATCACATCTTGAAACTGAATTATTTTAAATTAAACTTCTCCAATATATAACACTCCCTCAACTTCACTGTTAAATAAAAAAAAACCATTTCATTTGAAAATCTCAGGTTTTTCTAACTTCCTAAGTGCTATGAATTGACTTGTGCCCCCGCCCCAAATTCTTATGTTGAAACCCTAACCCCCCACGTGACAGTATTTGGAGATAAGGCCTTTAAGAAGTAAGTAAGGTTAAATGAGGTCATGAGGGTGGGGCACTAATCCGAAAGGACTGGTGTCCTTGTAAGAGGAACAGAGACCAGAGCGCTCTCTGCAGGGATGCAGAGTGGCCGTGAGCACACAGAGATGGGCCCCTATAAGCCACCTGAAGAGGCTTCCGGAGGAAACGTGCTGGCACCTGGCTCTTGGACTTCCAGCCTCCAGGACTGTGAGCAGCGAAGTTTCTGCTGTGTGAGCCCTTAGTCTGTGGTGTTCTGTTAGGGCGGCCCGAGCTGATGGATACAAGTGTGCCCACTGACGGCCAGCAAGCCAGAGCCCATGGTGGTCACAGAGCTTGTTTGGGGGACAAAAAAGTTTTGGAACTAGAAGTGGTGATGGTTGTGCAACACTGTGAATGCACTTAATTCTACGGAATTGTACATTTGAAAATGAAAAAGACTGGCAAATTGTTACATGTATTTTAGCCACAATCCTTAAAAATTAATAACATACCCAAACCACCAAATCGTACACTTCCAATGGGTGAGTTGTATGGTATGTGGATTATATCTCAATAAAATTATTTTTTAAGAACTCAGAGCCCAAGCTGACAAGTCATCAAATAATTTCAAAAGCAAACTTGCTGAAAATTCCTTAACAAGTGTGCCAGTGAGAAGTTCTATGTAACAGGAATGCAGGTACACTTTAATATTTGCTATGGGCCACCAAAAAGAGATGTCCGTTGGGTCTACTCCCCTGGGAGGACAGGGGCAGATGTGGGAAAGCACCACCCTGGCGCAGGTGTTGTGTCCCAGTACGAACCACCCGAGAGAGGGGCCGTCTAATCTCTGCGGCAGGTGCAGCGGGTGAGAACGCCTATCTCCCCACCCCAGCTATTCTTGTCTTGAGAAATATTTGCCCCCAAATGTTTAAATACATGAGGAGTCTCAATTTCACACATCCAAGAAGTAAAAAACTACAAGTAGAAAACTACAAGTCATGATTTTTCACTTATCAGACTGGCAAAGGCCAAAAAGCCACTAGGGAGACTTGGCTGGTGAGGAAAGAAAGACAGGCAGACCCATCCCTGCTGCCATCACAAAGGGCACAGTCTCCGGGGAAGGCTCACTGGCCGTATTTATAGAACCTAAAAATGCATGGATCCTCTGCCTTAGCAATTTTAATTTTAGAAATTTATCCTACAGGCTTTTGTTCATGGATACAAACGTTGTTCACACTACTTGTAAGAGCGAAAGATGAGAACATTTTCAGTGCCATTTAAAAGGAGGCTGGATGTACAAATTATGGTTCGACTGAACACCAGTCCAGCCCATGTACCACCAGGGGCAGGAACCACACTGCTACTTTTGTGCCTCCTGAACTGGGTCATCAGGCCACCGCCATCAGCTGTCCAAAGCATTAATGTTTTAAATTTGGCAACTTGGTAGATAAGAAAAGGGCATAATCTTGTTTTAATTGTTATTTCCTTCACTGCTACTGGGGTCGACTTTTTTCACGTTTACTGGCCCTTGTACATTTCGAGTTCTGTAAAAAAGTTCACAAAACGCCTTTACAACATTTGTTGTTTTTTTCACTCTGATATTGTGAATACAGACAGGAATAAAACACTGTCATTCTACACTTGGGGGGAGATGGGGCTCCCGGGTCTAACAGGGGCTACCAAATACTTATTGTGCTATGCATCCTGTTTTTTAATCCATCCCTTCTAACTTTCCCAACAGCCCTGAGCGGTAGCTCTTACTATGCTCATTTTACAAATAAAGAACCTGGGGGCAGAAGCTGGCTGACTTGCCCAAGGCCACTTGGCTGGTAACAGGGGCCTAAGTCGATACCTGGTTCTACAGCAGCTCCTCCTCTTCGTCGAGGCCTGGGCAGGAAGCCGCTGGAGTCAGCAGGCCGCGCGGAGGTCCACCCAGTCCCACACGTGCAGAGAGGCGTCGCTTGCTGCCGAGAGGAGAGTCCGTGGTTTGTGGGGGTGCCAAGTGTGGGTAGTGACCAGTGGAGCAGTGTCTATCTGGCTGCCCTCCAGGAAGATGTGACCTCTGTGAGTGAAGACAGGTTCTACTTGGTTCCCCACTCCATCCCAAGATGTGGCATCATAGACCTGGACTGTCCCATCAAACCCTAAGGAGGAATGAGAAAAGAGAAGATTGACACTGGAAGTAATTTTTATTGTTTGTTTGTTTTTTAAGTTATCTCTATGCCCAAACATGGGACTTGAACTCATGACCCCGAGATCAAGAGTCCACACTCCAACTGAGCCAGCCAGGCGTCCGTAAAGTAATTTCTATAGTTTGCTCTCTGGCACCAAAACAGGTTATAGGATGAGAAATCAAATAATAACAAGATGCTTAAGGCCAGGGGCACCTGGCGGGCTCAGTCCGTAGAGCATCGGACTCTTGATCTTGGGCTCATGAATTTGAGCCCCACATTGGGTGGCGATTACTTGAAAAAGATGCTTAAGGCCAGCTGAAGGGCACATAAGCTCCACCCTCGCTGTCGGCAGCTTATGACCCCATAGGGCAGGTGACGGTGTACTTCTGCTATTCATCTGGTATGTGCCAGGCCCGAGGCCAACCCTGGACATGCGTTCTTTTAATCCTCACAACTGTATGAAATAGGTACTATTATTTTCCCCGGGAAACCGAGGCTTAAGAGACTCTTTCAAACCTCTTTCACTTGCCTCAAATTCTAATCCCTCCGCATCTGGATCCCTGTCAGCAGATGGCCTTGCCTCCTGCTTGATGGGGGAAACAGAAGCCTTTACGGAGGAGCACCTGCATGTCCCCCCACCACCTAGCTATACCCACACTCACTCCGTCCTGCTGTCTTCTTGCTACCAAAGAGAAAGTTCCTCCACCAAGCTTGGTTCTTTTCTTCTGCTCTTTTTGGATCCTGCCATTATCAATGATCTTTTCTTACTCTCTCGACTATTCTTTCAACCTCTCCCCTTCCATGGGTCCTTCCCATTGACTTTTAGATACCCTCATTATTAGATACCCTCAGTCAGCTAGAAACTGCCGGGCCAGACCCAGGAGCCTGCTGACCTAGCAGCTTGCTAGAATTCGAAAAGCAAGCAGACCAAGAAGCACTTTTGTGATCCCCTCACCTCCTCCTGGTACAGCCCCGTGCCTATCCTAGTGCCTCGCTATCTGCAGTCCTCTCGCCCAACCTCAGCACCGAATTCCTGCTCAGGTAGGAAAGGCCTGCTACCAATGTCAAAATTCAGTAGCTAGAAAGGGGAAGGGCCTGCCATGGAAGAACCTGGAGGGTTATCTGGAGCTTCTCTGGGAGGGACTTTCACTTCTGGGGCCAGATTTATTACGGGGCTGCAGTCTCCTTCCTGAGCACTGTACAGTCCCCTGGGAGACAGAGCTCAAGTAACAGACACAAAATACTGCTCAGCAGTACCTGAAATGGCCAAGCAGCTGTCCAGGCCTGGCGCCCAGGTCACTCGCAGCAGCTCTGGGTCGGGGCTGGGTGCAGACACTGAGCACTGGACGGAACTCACAGGATGGCAGAGATTCCGGGGATCAAGAAGACAGAGCTGCCCGTCTGAGCCAAGGCTGGCAATCCTGGGCCCAGGGCCCCGGCCCCCAACTTCAGCACACCACCTCCCTCCAGCAGCCCCAGGGCTGGGGCTGACATTCTCTGATGGCGCCCACTTCTGGCGGATGTCGACAAGCCCCAGCCGGCCTGAGGAGCAGCAGAAGGCAAAGGTGTCTGCATCCAGGACCTGCAGGCTACTTAGCTCCTCGCTGTCACTGACCCCTGGAAGACAGAGGGTGACAGAGAAAAGCTGCTGGAGTCACAGGAGTCTGGCCGGTCACATACCCCTTCCTCTGGAAGCTTCCCACCAACACCGGGCACCTTGCCACGCTCCACCCAGCTGGGACGCTGCTGGTCCCGGGACTGCCTCTTCCAGCCCCAGAACGGGGGCCCCTTGAGGCTAGGGCCTGCCTCGCATCCATCTGGTTTCCCCAGCACCTGGCCCGCACGGCTGAACTCAGTTCTTCACGCAGCTGAGGAGGATGGAAGTGAGCAGGAGACGCCAGGCAAGGGGTAAACGGCTGTGGTACCTGAGGTGTATGTGGTCTTCTGGGATTCCAGATCCATAACCTTCAGACTGCTGAGCCTCACCCCGTGGAGGACTCCGGGTGCCATCGAAGAGAAGATAGCCACCCTGGGCCAGAGACTGCCCTCCTTCTCCTGCACAGCAATGGTGCTGACGGCTTGAATGACATCTGGGGGAAGGAAAGCACAAGAGGCTAAAATCCGGGATGCTGATGAAGGCCTGACACATTACAAGGTGAAGGCCAGCCAGCAGTCTTCCCTTGTACATGTAGAAGGTCAAGGAGGAAAGGGGGCTGACAGCTGGCAAGAGAGGACGTGAGACATAAACGCCCTGGATTACATTCACATTTCTGAAACTGTCAGAAGCACTTTAATTCCTTTATAATTTGTCTTACAAACAGTTTTGCAAACAGGAGATAATGAATCATAGCAGCCATCTCAAAACCCCAAAAGCATTCTGGCTTTTTATAGTTTCGCAAAGAACAAATAAAGATAGAAAAAAGCGAAGAACACACTTAAGATATCACTTACACCTTAAGTGAAAATAACAAGTACAGAGTTCATGAACTAATAGTATTTCTTCAAGCACATGTTCCATGACCTCAAGCAACCTGCGGATGCCTAGCCGGTGAAGGTCACAATACCCATGTCTCCAAATGGAAACCGGGCAGGAGGGTCCACATCGTTGTTGCACCGAACGGAGGAAGGACACGCCTGACCTCAAGCTGGATCCAGTTTCAGTGTGTCTGCTCAGCCTGCTTGGTTCTCGCCTCTGCGTTCTACACTGGAGGCTTCTTAGTGGCAACCGTTTAGAGCCGTTTGCTGTACAAACTACTTAATGGGAGATACAGATTTCCATTTTATATTTTCTTGCTCCAAGAGAGGCTCATTATTTGGTCACCACATTCTCTGAAGAAAATGGACATCTAACTATTTTTTTGATTCTAAAGCACAGGAGAAAGTCAGACTGAGGTAGGAATGGATGAGAAGGAATACTAACATGGCTTGGCAAGCAAGCGCAAGGCAGCGAGCCCCCTGGAGACTGTTCCCATCCGAGGAGGGCACAGGGCACGTGTCTGGGCTGGGCTAGAATGCAGAAGGCCCTTGGGTGTTGCTGCAAAGGCCCACGGACTCCCAGTACCCTTGATCCGGACTTGCTGAACTCAGTCACTCCTTCCACACAGGCTGCGGAGGTTTGGAGCAGACAGGACAGCTGAGCCCCAGGATCAGAGTTTGTCTCTGGGGAGCCGATGAGGCTGTGATTCAAACCCGCCCCGGCACAGCGCACCTGCCTCTCCTGGGCCACACGTGAGCAGCTCCCTCTTCCCTTTCCACACACTCTGAGGGACCTGGAACAGATTCCCCAGGACCTACCGCTCTGAGCCAGGGGATGGTCCTCAGATATGATCTGTCCTCTGATGGGGGAAAGGAAGAGGCCAAGGGAAAGCCTTCAAAGACCTATTTCAAAGACGCGGTGGAAAATTTCAGAGCCTCCTGACTGGAGAGTTGCTCTGTAATTATAATCAGAAAGAAATGCAGCTTTCCTCCTCCTCCTTTCTCTGGTCCGTGGTAAAATGCCCTCCTCCGGGTAATCCATACCACATTTAGCAAACCAGCCCCAAATGGAGAAGAGAAATGACTAGGAAATCAAAGCAAAAGACACAGTGAGACACCGCTAAGAACTTGGCCATGAAAGAAGGTTGTGTCTGAGGATTCACCCAACACAGAACAGGTCAGAGCAGAGGTACGCACACTCCCTAAGGAGTCAGAATGGTGCCCACACCTCCAATAGTGAGCAAATGTATTAACACATCTAAAGGATGGTGGTGTCCAGGAGAGGGGGCTGTCCAGCCATGCGGGCAAAGAAAACACTGGGGCCTGTCCAGGGCGGAGGGAGCCATACCAGACTGAACACTGAACTTCAAAGTGGATACAGCAGGGGACATTCAGCTGAGACCTTTAGATGTGTATTCATCCAACTCAAAGGTTTCCACAGCCCCAGTTATGAGAGAAAAGGCCTCAGATGCTGCTCCAGGGGCCTGGATGGCACCAAGGCCTGGGCAGCAATGCCTTCCCAAGTTTTATACTTTGTGCCGAAGACCGCTTACGAAAACACAACTTGGAAACCTCTGAGCTGATTCTTCTTGTTACGGTTTTGTTTATCACGCAGTCTTCGAGGAGGTCAGGTTTTCCACAGACAAAGAATAAGGACCTGGAATGTCCAATTTCAGGGACACTTTTTTATTTATGAACTAATAAAACTGCATTCTGGTTTACAGCAGTCTTGTGAGTCCGGTGAGTGCGTCTGCCTCTATAAACACTACGCTTTTTGGAAAATTCACCTTAGATAACACTACGCTTTTTCAGCTTCTAGGAAAACAGCTGGTCAACCTTCCCCAGGCTCTGGAATATTCTGCACTATTATCTAGGGAAAGAGAACTCTTTATCTGATTTGCTACTCTCATAGGAGCGTCAGAGCAAGCCCCCTTGGGCCATTAGCTCCCCTGGGCCTGGGGCTATAGTATGGTACTCCAGACACCGTCTGGATAAAAGGCAGCTCCGGGCGCCTCCACATGGTTAGTGACACTCTCCTCCCTCTCATCTTTAAGCAACTGCTGTCCCATATGGCCTATCTTTAGGCAAAGATAAAAAACTACAAGTTACTGGCATAAGGACAGACACGAAGACCAATGGAACAGAACTCAGAGTCCAGAAAGAAGTCCTTGTATTTATGGTTAAGCAATCATCTTTCAATGAAGCCAAGGGGCAGTTCCAAAAGCGGCGGCCTGTGCCTCTGAGGCACACTTCCATTCTGGCCAACAGTGCTCTAAAGAAGCAGGGATGGAAGGGGCTGAATCAGGGCCGCCGCTCTTGGTGCCTGCCTGGCAGGGAAACCCGCAAACCTACTGCTGGAGGGAAGGCTATTCCACATGAACGAACTCCCCTTCCCTCCCGAAGGGAACAGGATAACACTTGCGGCTCCTTTTCCCGTTCCCCTGTTACGGGGTAGACTGACTTCACGAAGAGGGAGACTGGTAGGCTGAGCCTCTTGCTCCCTCATTATTTTCCATCCCCGAGACGAGCATGCCTACAAGGCGAGGTGACCTCCTTGCCTCTGCCCCCGCCTGGGGGAGAGGCACGGGGTACGCCAGGTGCTCTGCCCATGACTGGGTAGGTGAACTGAATTCCGGAAGCAAGTTGCAGGAAGTTCCATCTGGGAGATGTACGCCACGCTGTGGTCGCTAACTCATTTTTGCCCATGTTAAAGTAGACACTACATTTTAATTCCACCTGGCTCTGTGACTATTTCTTACCTGGCTTAGATTAGGGGGTAGGGGTGTATGGGTATCAGGCTTTCCCACAACCCAGCCCCACCAAGTCAAATTCACTCACCACTGTCCTCTGTGACCTGCCACACATGCAGGTAAGAACCCGGAAGACCAGTGGTTACCAGCAACCTATTCATAACAGACAGAAGGATCAGTCCAGCGAGTGGGGAGCTCACCCACATACCCCCCAGCCTTTTCCCTTCCCAGCCCACTCAGCTTGGGGCCCCTACACTCCCCATACCAGGAAAGCTTGCTGCAGGAAGAGAGCAAGACCAGCCATCCTCATTTCACAGATGAGGAGCAGGCTCACTCCACTTGAGGGACAGACCCAGAGCTCATGGAGGGTCACGGGACTGAGCCCAGGCTTCCACAGGGCATGATGTATCCGAGAGGGGACACCAGCATGGAGCCTGAACACACAACCCTAACCCGGAGACTCTCAGCCTCTGCCAACAGGGCTATTAGTCCCAACGACCCACCACCAGTGCTTTGAGAAACTAAGGGCATCCTTCTACTCTCTATTCCCTGGAACAACTCCAGCGATCTGGGGATTACATTAGTTCAAAGGTCTGTGGCCTCTGTGGGACCATCAAGTTACCAAACAATGAGGGTTTTTTTTTTATATTCCAAATCTGGGTGTGTGTGTGCTTGGGTGCTGAGGGGGTAGGGGTGGAGGTGGTGCTAAAGAGGGAGGATACCCCTGACAGCTCCAGCCACTCCATCCTGAATGGAAGGTCTGGGTCACAGAGCTGACCATACCTGGTGTCTGGCACGTGCTTCAGGTCAAAGACAGACGTGTCTGAAAATCCTCCATGGCACACCTTGAAATCTCTTTCTGGGCATAAGCCCTAAAATACAAAGGGGTGGCCCATCAGAGAGTCTGCTTTCCAAAGGCACACTTCGATGAGCTCTAGGTCAGACGCCGGCATGAAGCCCCTTGCTGACAAAAGATGCTTCCCCCTGCCGGGCCTCAGTGTACTGCCTGCCACCTGTAAATGTTGGTCTCAGCTGCCTACACAGCTTCCTTTCCTTCCTGCACATCCAAAACCCTTCTCCCAACCTTTCCCCGGGCCCTTTCATGAGAGCACAAGTGTTAGACTCTAGGCCTTCTTAGAGGAGTCACCGAAGCTTCATAGCTTCATCCAAGACAGCTGGAACGTATCAGTCAACTACCCTGTCCCCATTCCTCCCGCACCTCCCACTGGAAGTCAGGTGGGTCCTTCTAGCAATAAAAATGTAACCACCACCAATTATCCAGTGTTCACTGTGTCAGGCACTGTGTTCAGTGCTTTATCTACTTTATCACATTGAACTCTTACAACTACCCTGTCATGTAGGTACTGTAATGACCCCTATTCTAAAATGACAAAACAGGGCGCCTGGTTGGCTCAGATGGTTAGGCATCTGCCTTCGGCTCAGGTCATGATCCCAGGGTCCTGGGATCGAGTCCCACATCGGGCTCTCTGCTCCTTGGGAGCCTGCTTCTCCCTCTGCCTCTCTCTCTCTATTTCTCATGAATAAATAAATAAAATCTTAAAAAAAATAATAATAAAAATAAATAAATAAAATGACAAAACAAAGGCACAGAGAACTTAAGCAACTTTTCTAAGGTCACACAGGGATTATGTTGTGGATCTGAACCCAAGTCTGTCTAACCAAAGTTCATGCTCTCAGCCACTAGACTCTACTCTCTCCATATGAGGGACTGGAAGCAGAGGGAAAGAAGGTAGCCATAAGAAAAAAGAGGAAAAGCCAGGCATGAGGTAAGAGGTAAATAAGGTGTCTCCTCAAGGCTCAGTCTGGGTGAGTGAGCTCCTGGCTTAAGCCTGAGTGGTGGGGATCGGGGAGATCAAGAGCACTAGGCAGGAAATCCCCCCCAGGGCAACAAAGGCCAGGCTGTCCTCAGATGAGACTGAGTGATTTTATAGCAACATCACACAGCTACCCACTCTTTTCTTCTTCACACATTCTCTTCTCTTGGCTTCTGAAACACTGCCCTTTTCTTTCTTTCTTTTTTTTTTAATGATTTTATTTATTCATTTGACAGAGAGAGACACAGTGAGAGAGGGAACACAAGCAGGGGGAGTGGGGGAGGGAGAAGCAGGCTCCCTGCTGAGCAGGGAGCCCGATGCGGGGCTCCATCCCAGGACTCTGGGATCATGACCTGAGCCGAAGGCAGACGCTTAATGACTGAGCCACCCAGGCGCCCCAACACTGCCCTTTTCTGAGACTCCTACTTCAAAGACTATTCCTTCTTAGTACCTGTTGTGGGTTCATCTTCCTTTAACTATTTCTGAAATGTATTCCCTAAGGTTTGGTCTTTAGACATTGTCTGCTTTTATTCCTTATACACGACACTGTCATCCTAGGTGATCTTAATCATTCTAAGGGCTTCAACCACCCTCTACACTCTAATGGCTCCCTAAATCTATTTTTGATAAAGTAAAATTGACCTCTTCCTCTAGGAGCCCTCTGTAAACCTCAGACATCCTGCAGCACTTACCTCTGTGCATCCCTGCCTCCCTGTGAGACAAGCAGGGCGGGACCAGTGCTTGTCCCTCTTTCTGACTAGTATCCAGGACAATACCTGGTAGACAGAGGAACTCTCTAAAGGTTTAATAAATGAATAAAAAGTAGACATGTATACTCAGCATTTGTATTTCACGTTACCTGGTTTTCTTTTACAGAAAGTCTGAGAGGTAGTATCAGATGAAGAATCTCATTTTTTTTCAGGCTTTCATAGCCAGCAACAAAGACTCCTGGAAAAAGAAGCAGAAGTAGCTGTGACAAACTGCTAGAAAGATCCTGGACCATGGCTGGGTCTAGAAATTTCACCAAAACCTCCGAAGCAAAGATAAATTCCTCCACCATTGGTATGCAGCCTTGTATTGGGGAATGGAAGGGATCTAGATCTTACTAAGAGGAATGTTAAGTGCTGACGGGGCTGAAATTGCTACAAGACCAAGAGGAGGCCTCAGACTCCCAGAAGTGTGGGTTGGGTCCCTCCCGGCTGCGCTAGCAATAAGAGGTCCAGCCTGAGGAGTAAGAGTCCATCTCCTTCAGGGCCAGGCAGGGCAAGATCACCTTTGTCACCAATCCATTCAAGGACTCGAGTGGCTCCCGAAAGATCGAATGCATGGAAATCTTGGTACCTGCATGATAAAGACACAATGTCACACGGTGCACAGCACTCTGCATCTGTTAAAACTCTGAGACGGCAGCACGGTTCGGTGGGTGGGGGCCCAGGCTCTGGAGCAAAGCAGACCTGGGAGCAGGTCTTGTTGCACATTTCAGCCCCCGTGTGACTGGGACCAGGCCGGTCACAGTTATCCCTGAGCCTCGGTCCCCATCTGTAAAACGGAACTCCCAGAGCACCTGGGCTTCCCAAGGCTGATGTGAGGAATCACTGAGCTAATGTGCTCAAGGTCTCACTCAGGCTGGCGCAGAATAACGGGTCACTTGGGTGATTATTATCCTCCACGACCACGGCTCTTAACTGGCACCGCACACGCTGCGCCCACGGGGAGGTGCCGCTTCCCAGACGCCGGAGCCCACTTCCAGGCGGAGGGCTCGGTGTCGGCCCCGCCCCACGGCCAGGCCGGCCCCGCCCACACCGGGGCTCCCTGGGCGCCCCACCCCGCACCAGTCCGCCCGCCCCGCCAGCTCCAGGCCCAGGGCCCAGGGCCCAGGCCCACAGGATTTACAAGCGCAAGGATTCCACCAGCCAGTCCTCCGCGGGGTCCATGGCAACGCCGCTTCCGGTACCCCACTTCCGCCGCCCCACTTCCGCCTCTGAGGCCCTTCCTCGGCAGGCGCGGCCCTCTCGCGAGGAGTGGGCGCGGCCGGCTCCGGCTGGGGGGCGTGGTCCCACTCCAGGGGGCGGGGCAGAGAGGAGCCTGAGCGCCTCCACCAGCGCGCAGTGCCCTCACCGGGCTGGGTCCGGGATCCTTCTGGCAAAAGCTCGAGGGGGGGAAATGACGTAAGATCAGGGGTTCCCAGGATGTCAGTTTCGAGCGGGGCCTCGGGGACCAAATACCCGCCCGTTTCACGACCGAATATTTGCAGATCAGAGGGTCAAGCCCAGATAAAATACAGGATGCTCGGTTAAATTCGAATTTTAGATAAACTAATGAATAATTTTTTCGTGTAAGTATGTCCATGCAATGCTTAGGACATCTCATACGAAAAAATTATTCATTGTTTATATGAAATGAGAATTTAACTGAATGTCCTGTATTTTTATTTGCTAAATCTGGCAACCCTACTCATGGCCAGAGAAGAGAGTAAGCAGACAGCGAGGTCTGGACCCAAGCTCGGCTCACTCCCTTGTATGCCCTGGGCACTCCCCTCAAAGCCTGGCATGGGGATGAAATGGAATGGGGTCAGCAAAACCCCATCTTGTAGTGGAGGCAGCTCCCTCGTCCAGGCGAGGAAACATGAGAGACTTGCCCGTGCCAGAAGGTAGCAGAGGTGAAGAGTAAGAGCCCAGCACCTGGCCCAAGACCTGGTGGATACAACAGGCACTGAGGACCTGCTTGCTGAGTGAGCGACTGAATAGGAGTCCCGAATAGGCTGGTGTCATGAAGTTTTCTTGGCTCTTTCGAGCCAGCACTGTCTCACTGAACATGCCGTCCTCCAGCCCCCTTTCCCTCCCATGCCCTCAAATGTGGCTGGAAGGAGAGGCCCAGACATTCTACATAAAGAGCAGGGTTTTATTCACAACTTCAACACGGAAGCAAGAAATACAGCAGGGACATAATTTGTGTCTGCATGGGCAATATTCCTGGCGACACAACCAGAAATCACAGTAATGGGGTAACAGATATTTGAGCCCAGGGTTTATTTACATCCAGATGGAGCCACCGCCAGGGTCCTGCTCAGCACCTTCCCTGGGTGGGCACAGTCTAAGTCACGGTGGCGGCTCTTCCTCATTAGGGGCATCCCTTCTGCAGCATCTGCACCAGCGGCCTCCTGTACTGAACGGGAACACACAGAATTGACCTGGGCAGAGGGGGCACATGACAGGGGCGTCCTGCCATTCCTATGTGTGAGGCATCCACAGAGGTAGGCAGGGGCAGGCTCTCCGCTCAGGCAGGCCCCCCTGGCACCTTTCCCCCTGAAGGAGGCCTGGAAGGGGTCGGGGCACTGGTTTTCTCAGAGTGCTTGTGACAGTCAAGGAGATCATGGAAGTAAAGTCCCCGTTATGTGCCTGGCCCTGGGCCAGTGTCAGTGTTTTCACTCCCCGCCCCCAGCTCTGCCCCAGACCTCACCTCTGAAGCCCCATCCCCCAGTGCTAGGTAGTGCTTCCTGGGAGGTTCGCTAGTTGGTCTGCATGCTTGAGGCCTTCGAGACTGACAGCCCCAGAGGGGACATCATCTCCCTTCAGAGTCAGCCAGCCCAAGCTGCTGGCCCTTATATCTGAGGTCCCCAGAGGCTGGGGCTTCTGTGCATGAGGAGTGCCAGGGAGGTTGACTGGGGATGGAGTTGGACCTTCTCTAGGAAATGCCCCTCCCTTCTTTCAAAATGTAGCATTATATGCTAGGCACAGTGGAGGATATGGTGAGTCTGTGACAGGTGCTCCCAGGGAGCTCACAGACTGGTAAGAGCTCCTGTTTACTAAGTGCTTTCTATGTGCCAGGCATCACGCTGAGCTCATGACACAAATGGTCCCATTTAATACAAGATGGGTGCTCTCCGCTATCATCCTCATTTTATAAATGAGGAAGATGAGGCCTTTAAGGTCACATGGCTACAAAATAGCTGGGTTACGAGCCTAGCTCGCTGTCACGGGAACCCACATTCTACCACACTATGCTGCCTTCTGGGCATCGTAACAAAGTACAAGGGAAGGTGGTGTGGGCCAGGGACAGCACCAGGAGCAGGGAATGGAGGAGCTGCCCTCCTGCCAGGGTAGAGACTAAAGCTGGCTTGGCTCTAGCTTTGGGGTCAGTGGTTTACAACCAGGGGTAATTTAGGCTCCTGCCCCTTTCCCCTCACAAGAGCTCTGGCAATGTCTGGAGGCATTTTTTTGTGGTTGTCACAAATGGGGTGGGGGGAGGAGGATGCTCCAGTGAGTAGAGACAAGGGATACTACTAAATTTCCTCCAATGCACAGGGAAGCCCACACAACAAAGAATTATCCAGCCCAGAATGTCAGGAGTACTGAGGTTGAGAAACCCTGCACTGAGGGTCACGGAGGCAGATGAGCGACGGGGAAGAGCACTGGTCGGGTTGACCAAGGTCTGGACTCTGTCTTGGATGCTGACTCTTCTCCTTTCTGGGCCTCAGGGTCCCAACTGTCACCACAAGTACAAATGAGGCGCAGCAAAGGTGGACCGCTGGGGTGGGGCAAGTCTGTGTGTGGCGGGGAGATCCTGCTGCAAGGGGCTGGCTAATTAATCCTGGGCTGTGACTTCAGACTGGGAACTAGGTGAGGGGAAACTTCTTTCCTACTTCTTGCTCTGTTAGGTTTGCTGGGAAGGTCAGTTACCTTTCTTTGAAGTCTTCTCCCTTTGACTCTGTATCACAAGGAGAGCCTGGAATCCCTGGCTTTCTGGGGCCCATCACACCTCGCGGGCAAGGGGCTGTCACACCTGATGCCCAATGCTGGAACCAGCAGCAGCCCTGGCTGGGCCTCTCCTTGGCCTGAGGTAGGAGCTTGGCTCACCTGGGGGTGAGGTGCTGGGCCGCTAAGGCTCATGCCCAGAACTTTCTTGAGCAGGAGGATCCTGGGCAGATCATGACTCAGCTGCAGTCTCTGGTCTGTCAGAGAGATGTGGGGAGCTGTCCCCAAGAGGAATGGGCTGGGGGTTTCCAGACTCTTCTTACCCATGAAGTGACCTAGAAAGGAGGTGCCAAGACACAAGGAAGTTGGGGAGCGAGGATCTCTCCCAACTTTCAGTTCTCATGACAGGAAGATCCGAGGTCAGTCTCCCTCCACCTCTTCTCCAAGGAGACACAAATACCCCTGGGTGGCGGCAAAGCCTGTACCTGGGCTTTTCCTGAGCGGGTAGAGATGGTGGAGAGGGTGGCACAGCTGGGAGGAGGGTGGATGGCACGCGGCCAGGGAGAAAGCCTGCCGGTAGTGCTGTGTGCTTACAGGAGGGACAGGAGAGGGCAAGGAGGAAAGTGGAGGATGAAGAGGTGTCTGGAAGGTGGAGGTGCAAAGAGAAGACACACCAGAGGTTAGAAGAAGATTCAGTAGCCTCTTGCCTAAGGCAAGGGGCACCGGCTGGCAGGCAGATGAAGGACCCGACCCCAGCTCTGCTTTAACTGGCTGAGTGATCGCAGCCAAGTCACCGGACTGTCTGGGTCTCAAGTTTCCCATCTATTAAATTAGACGAGTTCCAGGGTTCTCAGCAACGCGAACACGAGTGTCCGTGGCTGAGGAACGGCCTGAGAAGGAAAATGGGATCAGAGCAGAGTGAGGGGCGCTTGTCCGGGTCCCGAAGACTTACCGGTGGCCCAGAGGTTGCCCCGCGGGTGCACTCCGATCTTGCTGGTCCGGCTGCGGGGCTCTGGGGGATCCCAGCTGAGTGGCGCGGCGCCGGCAGCGAGCAGAGCGAAGAGCAGGAGTCCGCCGAGCAGCCGAGCGCCCCCCGCCCGCAGGGTCATGGCTGTACCCTCGCCGCTCCTCCACCCCTGGCGCGCTTCCCAGCCGCTGGAGTCGAGGCCGCCTCCTTCCCTCCTTTTAAACCCTCGCCCCTGGGGGGCGGAGCCTGCTCCGAGAAGCCCGCCCCCCGGTGCGCTCGCGGCCGCCCCGGCCCCGCCCTCGCAGGACGCCCCGCCCCGCAGGACCCCGGGCGCTGAGCGCTTAAGCTTCTGCGCCCGCGTGGGCATCGCCTCCGCAGGGCGTTGGCGTCCATGTGCACCACCGTCCAGCGGAGGACCCTGACCCGGGGCAAAGCCCGTTCCCCTGGCGGCCGCCTAGCCGCTCCCACTGGCTTTAGGCCCACGAGTGGTTACTTCACCTCGGAACCTCTCTTTACAAGGGTAAAAGTGTCGGGGCCGGGGAGGAGACTGGCGCTACAGTGCCCAGCAAAGTGCCAGGCACTAGGCGAGCCGTAAAATGCCTGCCGGGCCCTCCCTCTGAGGGGGTGTGACCGTGTTCACCCTGCTCTCTGCCCTCTCACCGCCAGCATTCCCCAGGTGGTGTAGAAACCACAGCAGGTGCTCGGGCTGGCAGTGCAGTGATGGATGGTGAGATAGTGAGCACCTCCCACCCCAAGAATGGACGCTGTACTGGGGGGAGCCTGGCCTAGCACTTGGGCAGGAGGCAGATCTCCGGGTCAGGGAAATGGAAAGAGCACCGGACCAGGAATTCATATATAAACTGTGTGACCTCATTGAACCTCACTTTCTTCAACTGTGAAATAGTAATAACCACGTGGCTCTATTTGTGATAATTTTACATTTTTTTAGCACAATTATTTTGTGGCAGGAAGGAGCAGCCCTATAGGACGGGCCTCTCACACCCAGCACTCTCGTCCTCCCAAGTCCACACGTGCCTTGGAAAGAACTTTGGGGTCAGTGCCATCACTTAATGAGTAAAACACTGTGCTCCAGAATAATACATTTATTTTTGCTTAAATGTTTACTCAACACCAATGTTCAGGAGCACCATGCTAGGCGCAGGAGGAGGGGAGACAAAAGATCATTCCCTGCCCCCAAGGGAGTTTACCATCTCATGGAGAAACCGAGTGCCAAAGGAGTGAATGATGGAGCAGCGTGCAGACCAACCCGGGATTCTGGGCTCTGCACAGTGCGGCTGTGACAGAACCTACTCCCCAGTCTGGCTCGATAATGGTACTTGGTATTGCCCTTGCACGTATCTAGCTCAGCAAGGCCAGCTAGCTCTGTGGACCACCACTCTAAAAGGGGAAGTATACAGCAGAGGCTGGATGTCATGCTGAGTTCCCAGGAGCATGACACACAGGACAGGGACACTCCATTTCTGGCCCTGGCTTTTTCCCCAGTCTCCGTGCTTCTCATCCCCCACCCTGGCATTTACACCTCTCTGCATTCTTGTCACTGCTCAGCCATGGTGTACAGATATAGCTCTTATCACCTTCCCATAATAACCATTCCCTTTGTGACCCCTCCCTCTCCTCTGGCCCACAGACGTAGAAATTAGTGGGAACACACGGGAGCTGGCATTAATTGAGTGCTGCTTCACTTCAATGCTTGAAGGAACCTTATTTGGTAGGTTTATCTCTCATTTTATAACTGGAAACAGGCTCAGAGGTTGAGTCACTCGCCCAGACGTCACACTAGAATCAGACTTCGGGTCTGTTTGGACCACTCTATCAGACCCTCAAAGTCACGCAGGGCAGATGCTATTTCCCTAAACCACATCCACTCCCATTTTATCATCACAAGTGTAAACATCAAGTTGGTTTAGATTTCTCAGGGGAGAAAGGGAGCAGGCACTGAATTTAGAGTTTGCCCTCACTTCTGCAGGGGACCCTGGGACTGGGAGTTCTGCTCTGACCAGTTCATTTATGCTCCAGCCAAGCCTCCTCTGTCACAGCCTGCATTCACAGCTCCAAGACTGACCTCAGGTGCCCCAGTGGCATCATTTTATCTGTCAGGCTAGCACAGCAAGCAAGAGCCCTCAGAGGGCCCTGGAGAAAGAAGCAGGGTGGCAGCTCCACAGCCGTTCGGAAACACTGTCCAGGGAATGAGAAGCATCAGGCCCGGCAGAGAGGGTGGCTGGCCCGAGACAGCACTTCCAAGCTCGATGTCCCAAGGAGCGTGCCAGGCTCTGAGTTTGAGTGAGACCTCAGCTGTCCGCTGCCCGTTCCCCAAGTGTACTGTGATGGCAAGGGAAGTCTAAGGGCCTCCATCCCACTGGGAAGACTGACAGTGAGGCCGGTGGAGGCCCACAGGGAAGTGCTTCAGTGCTCACACTGGGCCCTTCTCAGGTTTCTACAACCTTCAAGGATAGCCACAGGAAAATCTACACAAGCTTCACAAGACAATTCTAGAGATGATTCAGGGGTGAAAGATACATGGCAACTCCTGTTATAACCAACACCAACAAAACATTTGAACTGCACCATGGTTTTTAATCAAAGATTGCTCGAAATAAAGGACACGTGTATTACTATTTGCTATATTTTCATCAAATTGGAATCAACTATAAGTAACATCTTTTCACAACTGAATCTTTGTTGTCGTTTTCCAAAAGTACTTACATGCATGCTCCCTTGATCACCAACACTATATTTTGATGTAGTAACAACTAGAATTATGCCCATTTTATAGATGAGTTAATTCAAGTACAAAGCAAGTTAGGTGCAGAGAAACTACACAAATGGAGAAAACCATAGTGGACTTGACGCACATGAAAGGTGCAGAGGACAACAGAGGAAGCGAAAAGCAGAAATTTAAATTAGACATACATGAGTCTGGTGAAAAGGAATGACAACAAATGCAGAGCTGCTCAGGAAAGGATCGTATAAAAATCACGCCCCTGGCAAACCTCTGAGCACAGATCTCCACCTCTGTGGACTGGGAGGATGAAGAGAAACAAATGAGATAGCTCGGGTTCTGCTCTTTAGTTTCAGAATGGAAAAGGACTGGACAATCAGGAGAACGGCAGAATCTTAAAGAGGAGAGTTAGGGATACAGGATACAATTTCCCAAAGTCAGAGGGAACACATAAGAATTAGCTAGAAAATCAGAACATTCACCATTAGTCAGGAAATGTACCAGAAACTGAAACTGCCAAAACACAAAGTATTTTTTTAAGGCAATATTCAAAAAAAAGGAGAAATACCTACATCTAACGAGAAAGTGATGACAAATCCCACCAGTGGCTAAGGGACCAGAGCAGCCGCTGCTCAGCTCAATGGCACAGATGCTCAGAGAACTTATAAAAACCTAAGAAAGGGACGAGCCCCACGCCCAGCATTCATAATTATTTGGGTGGGACAGTCATGTATTTCAGGGGACATTCAGTAACTCAAATTCATACTCTTTAAACTCCAAAGAGATTTAAATGCTTGGAAATCTGTCTGAGAATCTATTTCTAACAGATTTGCTTATCTGAGCAAGTCCACAGAAGACCACCGAGAGTCTCTAAAGAATTCCCAAGGGCCCTGCAGTCGTGGGATTTACGCCAAACGAGAGTCTCATTAGATATTATAAAGGTACAAGGACTGGATTATGACGCCCAACACCGTGACATGAGAAAAGCAACAGACTTGGAGTTGTGGCCGTGCCATTCACGGGCCAGGAGATCCTGGGCAAATCTCTTAACTTGTGGTTTCTCTTTTGTAAAATGGAGTTTATTTTGAAGACTGAATGAGAGAAAATAAACATCTGTCATGAATTCAGAAGTACTTAGCGGAACACATGGCAAATTCTAAGTACTCAATATTATTAGCTGGGTCCCAGGAAATGCCAAGTCCGCTTTCAGTCTGAAGCCAGTTACCGGGGAAAGAAAAGGTTCCCGCTAAAGCTGCGGTCTTTACACCACAGTCAACAAAATGCCTATTATACTCTGAGTTGTTCGACAGACTAAAAGGCCAGCATATCCACCTCAACTTTTGACCAATTCGGAGAAGCACATTCTATAGCAGTCTCACTTTTTCCATTTAAATAAGATGTCAGGCTGACTGCTTTGATCAAGCCTCATGCTAGTGATTTACTTACTTGCCTGACATAAAGCCTGAGTACAAATTCTTTTAACTAGACTCCTTGATGTAAAGCTGGAATCCAGCTTACCAATCTAAATAAACTGGCCAGTTAAAGCAAGGGTTCTAGAGAAAGGATTCTTAACCAAGAGGAGGTACAATTCCAGAAACTCCCAAGATTGGTAGAATAGGGATTTATAGTTTGAAAGTCATATTTAATATAATAATTTAGGGGCGCCTGGGTGGCTCAGATGGTTAAGCATCTGCCTTCGGCTCAGGTCATGATCCCAGGGTCCTGGGATCGAGTCCCGCATCGGGCTCCCTGCTAGGTGGGGAGCCTGCTTCTCTCTCTGCCTCTCTCTCTCTCTGACTCTCATGAATAAATAAATAAAACATTAAAAAAATATATATAATATAATAATCTAACCGTATATAAGAAATAACTTGTTTTTATAATACAAACTTGAGAAAAAAGTAAGATAAAATATTCTTGGCTGGTGAGGATGGAGGTTGGATACAACAGACCTGAGCGAGAGTTTGTGAGAATGGAGGAGAGGTATGAGATTTTTAGGGTTCTTAGAAGAGGCAATGAGTTTTGAAAGATTAAGGAACATTGTTCTGGGGGTACCTGGGTGGCTCAGTTGGTTAAGCATCTGCCTTCGGCTCAGGTCATGATCCTGGGGTCCTGTGATCGAGCTCCGCATCGGGCTCCCTACTCAGCCAGGAGTCTGCTTCTTCTGCTCTCTCCGACCCTCCCCATGTGCTTTCTCTCGCTCATGAATAAATAAAAAAAAATCTCAAAAAAAAAAAAAGAAAAGAAAAGAACACTGTTCTACAGGAAAGGTGTCTGGAGGTTCCTGGCTGATTAGATGGGTAGCTGGTGTTTTGTGGGGTGGCTCTCTGCAGAAGCTGCCAAACTATACCTACACTAAAGGAACATTCTCTGAAATAATTCTATGAAAATCATTAGGCTACTTAATATAGAGATTACTGCAGGACATCACACCATGCCCTTGCAATGAGGTCCCAGGAGAGAAATTTCTTGGTCCTTGGGTATTATAAGGTTTTTGTTGTTGTTGTTGTTAATTCCATTTTATGCCCATTCCATAAGGCATAGAAATGATTGTTTCCCTCTTTACATTAGCCCCTAAGGAGTTGAGAATCAACACTATGGATCTCCAGCAGACAGGAGAACTTTTTGTCTTGAGGGCACTAACCTCACCTCTGACTTCATCCTTTATTTCCTTCCACACTTATTTCAACCCTAGATTCTTCAATTATTTTATATCTTACCACAGAGTACTAGATGTATCTTTATGAGCCGCTCCAAATCATTTTTGGAACAATTTATTAATAAATCTAAAATGGGGGGGCGCCTGGGTGGCTCAGTTGGTTGAGCGACTGCCTTCGGCTCAGGTCATGATCCTGGAGTCCCGGGATCGAGTCCCGCGTCGGGCTCCCTGCTCAGCAGGGGGTCTGCTTCTCCCTCTGCCCTCTTCCCTCTCGTGCTGTCTCTCATTCTCTCTCTCTCAAATAAAAATAAAATCTTTAAAAAAATAAAAATAAAAATAAAAATAAATAAATCTAAAATGGGCCAACAAGCACTGTGATAGGGACTAGAGGATATACAAGGATGAGCCAGAGGCTGGCCTTGTCTTAACGCCTTCAAGGAGCTGGTTGGGGTAGGGGACCCACAGCAGAGAGACCACCCTGGGGGCGCCGTTAAAGAGTCACGAGCAAAGTCCCAACAGCACTGCGCGGGAAGTGCTACACACTCGAGAGCGTGGCTGAGAATAAAAACACTCCTCTTTTAAGCTCCCTGTGCATCTATCACTCCACTTAGGACCCTATGTGGGAAAAAAAAGCCTGTTTACATGTTGCCCCGGTTAAGGCACTGAGTTCTTAGCAGTTCCATGCCTTACTCATCTTTATACCCCAGTGGCTAGTCCCAAATCTGGCACCGAACAGATGCTCAATACGTGTCTGCGGAATGAGAAAGCTTCTAGCAGGTACAGAGGGAGCAGGCACTCCAGGCACAGCAAGCAGCATAAGTGAAAACTAGATGTCTGTTCAGTGAGACCAATGTCAAGGGGACAAGAATGTGGGTTCTGCAGAGAGCTGAGGCTGGAAAAAGTCCTGAGGGCCTAGAATGCTACAGAACACTTAGAATGCAAAGTCCTTTTTTTTTTTTTTGGTAACTCCCGCATATTCTAGTCTTTAATTAACATTTCTTGGTTACACAGAATTCCTTCTACACCCAGACTCCCCAACACTTGTGTGCAAAGGGTCATATTTGTTGTTTATTTCTAAAAGTCTAGCTGGTATTACTTACAGTTCTAGTAAGGGAGAAGAGTAACAAAGATCTACCTTGCCAGAAAACAGTCTGGATAGGCCGTCCGACTGAAGGAGCATCTTGAGGAAGGTAGACAATCTATTTAGTCAGCCAGAATCAGCTGGATCATTCGGGAAGCTCAACAGAATGATAAATGTTCTAAGAAGGGTGCCCTCAGATGCTGAGATAGGCCTCACACATTGTTCTTAGTGGCCGTATGGACTTGGTAACACACGAAAGCAAATGACCAAGAAATTCACTTAAGGATCACAGAGCCTTTCTTCTTCTTCTTCTTCTTCTTCTTTTTTTTTTTTTAATATTTATTTACTTATTTGAGAGTGAGATAAAGACAGAGAGTGAGCGAGTTGGGGGAAGGGAGAGAGAGAGAATCTCCAGCAGACTCTCTGCTGAGTCCAATGCAGGGCTCGATCCCACGACGCTGAGATCATGACCTGAGCCGCAATCAAGAGTTGGACGCTTAACCAACTAAGCCACCCAGGCGCCCTAAAGAGCCTTTATTTTAAGCCTAGGTTCTCTGAGAAACCTGGGACTCCCCAAGAAAAGTGACAAACACCAATACTTCTCCCACTGAAAAAGAGAAGGCAGGAAGAGTCCGAGGACACAGATAAAAAGGAAGAAGACAGGATTAACACAAAAAATTCTAGAAAGGGAACACACTGTTTAAATGGAACCACAGGGAGAGAAAGTTTTCAAATTCAAATTTGGAAAGACCAAGATAATGTACTTACTAAATAACTGGAAAGTGCAAATCACTTGAATGATTCATTTGTTCTGCCCCAGAATAACAGCTCAACAATTATGCTACCCTAAGTTACTGGGGTGCCTGGGAGGCTCAGTCGTTAAGCGTCTGCCTTCGGCTCAGGTCATGATCTCAGGGTCCTGGGATCGAGCCCTGTGTGGGCCTCCCTGCTTGGCGGGGAGTCTGCTTCTCCCCCTGCCTCTCCCCGTGCTCGTGCTCTCTTTCTCTCTCAAATAAGTAAAATCTTAAAAAAAAAATGCCACCCTAAGTTACTGCTTCTGGTTCTACTGCATGATTATATAGAACATGTAGTACATGCTGGGACAACAGAGTATGGTGCCTATAAAGCAGGGCCCCTGCATAGGAGGGGCTTGCCATTTGATGGGGGAACTTGAGGCCATATCCACAAACTAGCGTAAGGCCGCAAATGCTGAGAGTTGGAGGAAGGACAGTTACTCTTTGCAGAAAGTGAGACTCACACAAGCAGAAATGAGAGTGTAAGATAATGTAAATGAAGATATAGCAGTTTACCACAAGAGTGCTTAATGCTGGCTGAATTCAAAGTCCGAACTTCCCATGGGGTAATACAAGGTCAACACAACATTTATGGTCCAAAAAGAGACACTTGTGAAAGCAAATGGGGTACTAAAACTAATTAACAAGTGGAACTGATCTCGAACAGGCACAGACTGGTCCGCTGCAGGGAAATGGAGACGTATAGTCACCCCAGCAAAAGGAACCACTGACTTTGTTTCTGGAGTCAGGAGATGGCCATGAGAAATGGAATGACAGGGGTAAATGTAAGGCTTGTAAGTGGCTAAATATGCTGGGAAACTGAAAAAATCTAGGTGCATACTCCTTCAAAGAAAAGGTGAAATCTGGAGGGTTCGTTTGCAGCAACTGCTACGAGCTTCACTGCAAACAGAGGACAACAAGTAGAAGTGTTTGGAGGGAAGAGAGAGACAGGGACTAGAAGTGAGGACAGACGTTTGCAAACAACTCAAAGAGACTTACTCGTTGGGAGTGATGACAGCGGAGGACTCACAGCCCAGAGAAAACGCCATGATCAAATTCTCACTTGAAGTGTTATCTGTCCTCATCTTCTTTGATCCCCGACACTCACAGTGGGCAAGCCTTCCCAACTTCCCACCGGCCCAGCCAAATCTCAGAGAGCTCATGATTCCATTGCAACACCAAATCGAACAACTCTAGCATGTCTTACATTCTCTAAAATGCTTTACATTTACTGATAAAAAATTGCCCAGCTTAAGTCTTAGATTTGAGCACTAAACCAGGTAATATAAAAATTGACAACATAAAACCTCTCTCCCAAAATAATCTTTATTTTTGGCTAAGAGAGTAATTCAAATACTTTTGAATGATTTGATTACTTCTCAGAAAAATTTAGCTATTGCTTCCAACGAGAGCATCCAGCAAAGGAGGAAAAACAAAACTGGGTGTGAAAATACGCAAATGAGGAAAATATTTAATGTTTTAAGTGTATACGGAGGAGAAATCTGGATGGCCGAGGATACAAGTACAACTCAGGCAAGCTAGGATCACAAAGAAGCCCAGGATCCCAACACCGGGCAGCAAAGCACACAACTTCTCCAGAGCAGTCCCAGAAAGTTTGCTGCAAAAACAGAGCGACGATGGTTAGGCCAAGCAGTTAACCCCATCCTCTGCAGGTGATTAGGAGAAAAAACATGGGGAGAGTAGCAATTTTCTGCCATTCTATGCATGGGGGACTGCTTCCACACTCTCCGTGGCTCATGAGAAAATGTAAGTACAATACAAGCCTCACTGGCAGGTTCAAAGAAGCACCTGCTAGCCCGGATGTGCCAAGTGTCCTACTCGGTTGAGATCATTCAGAGCCCACATCCAGAGTTTAAAGACTAAGGCCTAGTTAACGGATTTTGGATGGCACTATTCTCTATATGGGAGAGCTTCGGAAGATTAACTGTTCTTAGTTGTAAATTGTCTCCATCTTTTAATGCTGATTCCATTAACATTAAAGTGTGGACTGATTTCCACTTCAGCTGATCCACCTTAGCTGAACAAATAATAGAAACTGCTCATTTAGCCCAACACAGAAAATTTGCTTACTTTCAGATTTCACATTAATACAAGAAGAGAACAAAAAGAATTGCGAGTATTTTGTACTTAAAACACACTGGCTTACCCTACAACTGGCCCTTTCCCTAACTGCCTCAACATGAGAGGAAGAAAGACACAACTGGGCTTTGCATTCACTACTTTAAACCTTGCCTTCTCTAAGTCTGCACGAGAGAAAAGCGAAGCCAGGCACTTAAGAGGACAGGCTCTGGCAAATGAGAGTTTTAAAAAAACAAGTAGCACGCTTGCCCTCCAGCACCTTTCTCCTGCTTCCTCCAGATGCTGAAGCATACTGCCAACGTGTAGAAAGGGCTGAGAGTGTCTCAAGTGCAGAGAAGGAGAGGAGCCTTCACAGCCCAGTGAGACTTTCTGAACCTTTCAGCAACACTGTGTTTCTACACATCTGAGTCACACCCTAGTGAAGAATCAATTTTATGGCTAAGAGACTGCCTATGAACGCCAATGGCCACTTTTGCTCCACAAAAACAAACAAACAAACAAACAAACAAACAAACACCAGTTGTTAGTATGAGGACAACCTTCTTAGCTGAAGGACTGCTCACATCAAAGCCTTTATCTGCCCCAAGGGTGCTAAGAACCAGCAGAGGAAGGCAAAGCTTTCCCGACAAACACAAGTCAGGGATAAGGGGTTCAATATGCAAAGTCTTTTATTTAAAATTTGAAAAGTTAAGACTTACGACCACCTCAGGATATGCCATCCCCGTCTTATACGGAGGAATGACGGTTTCAAACTCGTGCAGAGTTGCATTTTCATTTACAGAACTCTGTAGGCACTTGAGAAGTGAAGCTTGGCTTCAAAATACAAACACTGGGGGCTTTGGCTCAACCTTTTAATATAAAAAATTCACTGATGTACAAAAATGTGAAAGTGTGACAATGACAACGTATGAAATCCTGTGACTGAGAGTCCCCGTGAGTGTGCGCCATGGTGCCCGGGCACCCGCCCACACGTACCCTGGTGTGGAAACAGAAACTAATGCAAACCGTTGCTACCGGGAAGCGCCAACATGTGCATTCTGCACTCCACCAATCACAGACCAATATCTACGCCAAACATTCAGGAACGAAAAGTACGGCATCTTCCAGGAACAGCAAGGCAGACTTCTTACTCACGATGGACCAGCACGAATAAACCCAGCAAGAAGAGCACTGCATACTAGAAAAAAGACACAGAACACAAGTCAGGGAAGCTTTTAAAAGTGTCCAAGTCCTCAGAGTGCAGTCGTGAGCTGGCTTTTGTGACCACGACCAATTACTAAACTAACCAATTAGTCCGTAGCCCACGTAATAGTTTCCAAAAGTGAGCAACAGAGCGCATGTTTAATGAAACATGTACTATAGGCTCTTACCTTAAATTTTGGATAGTCATTCATGAGGATCGTCACAATCCCAATGTAAGGAACAAATCTAAACAAACAAGCAAACAGAAAACCGGTCATCACAGAACTTCCTCCGTAGCCAGTCTCGTTTACCAAATATTCTCAGTATCTTCCATAGAAAACGGATTTTCAGCTCACAAAGTCCATTTGTACAGACTGTCCTATTAGGTCCTTCCAACAACTCATGTGACAGGGAAGTTAGGAATACCATTTTACAGATGAGGAAAGAGATGCTCGTGCCTGAGGTATGTGATTTTGGTGCAGGAGAACCAGTACCAGACCTAAGGTCTCGGGCCTCCAGATGGGGACTCTCACGCTACATGTGGATTCAGTGCTCGGGGCTGGGTTTGTTGTCATAACCTTCCGGGAGTGGTCAATCTAGCTAGGGCGACAACGCAAACACGGCCAGGTCATTACAAGGTACTTCATGTTAAGAGTCCAAAAAGTGAGTGTAAGAGCTCCATTACAGTACTTAAGATTTCGCCACCCTCTCATTTGTTAACCACCTGTAATCTGGCTCTTGCTCTCCTGATCCCGAAACTTCTTCCAGAACAGCTTAAATCGCCGTATGCAGTAGACCAGTCTCACCACCCATCTTCCTTTTCATTTCTGCAGAATTTGACTTTGAGGACCACAAACTTCCCTTGAAATCCTCTCCCTCCTTGGCTTCTCGAACACACCACAAATCCATTTTTCCACCTACCTATTGGCTGCTATCCCTTTTTCACTAGCTCTTTCTTTCTCTTTGCCCCTAAAGTTTATCCCCTTAAACTAGATATAGATAAAACCACCTGCTAAATAATCTCATAGACCTGATGTATTTCCTTTGGAGTCTTTACCACACTTTTTTATTACATAATTGGTTGCACAACTAGCGGAATAGTGTCTGTCTCTCCTATTCGACTCTAAGCTCCATAAGGGCAAAGACAATGCCAGCCTTGCTCCCCACTGTCTCCTCAAGGCCAGATGTAACCCCCGTACACGGTAGGCATCCAGTAAACACCGCCTGATGGAATGTCTGGATGTCCAGGCCTCTTCTCCTCCTTTCCCTTGGAGATCTCATGTACTCCCGGACTTCACTTCTCCCCCCAAGAGAAGACACTCCATAACCTCGTAAGAATTCAGGGGAGAAAGGAAACGTTAGCAGGGTAGGGTACCGTCACTGTGGGAGGAAATGGCAGTTAGCAAATGCACAATTTTCTTCTTTCTCCTCCTCTTTTACTACTGGACTCTAGAATGGGCACAGTGATACTGACCTAGACCTTGTGCTAGAGGAGGGAGGTTGGGCTGAGGTGGAGACTGAACTCTGCATACTTTAAAATAGCCCAAATACTTCTACTCAGGGCATCCACAACCTGTGCACCATCATCCCAAAGGTGCACAAACAAATCACCTCCCACATAACACCTCCACTATCAAAGCCTTAGGCAAGCTTGAAAAACAGAAATTTTGTCTTTTGGTGCACTTCCTTCCTTTGAAGAACTCCTCTTACTTCCTGTCTCCTGTCCTCACCCCGTCCGCCCCTCTCCCTTCTGGCAGCATTACCAGACACCCCCACCCCCCGACCTCTCCCCATCCCCAAACTTCCATTCCATGAGTTGATGTTTCCTAAAACCAGGCCTCCTTCATCAGAATCACTTGGATAGCCTGTTAAAAGTGCAGATTGCCGTATCTTCCTCACATTTACTGAGTCAGAGCATCTGTGGAAGTGAGGCCCAAATAATGCTTCTGCACACTCTAGCACCAGCTCAGTTCTAGCTAGTGACATGCCTGGAACAGCCAGGTGGTGGCAAATAACATCCCTTCCTAGGACCCATGCTTTGGTTTCAACCCCTGGAAGTAAAAGTCCCTACAGGATGGCAGAGCTAAGCTCTAGGATGGTAGACAGGGGTTTTCTATGTTTTTAAATATGTATTTTTTCTTTGTAATACAATAGCTTATTTCTTTTGTCTCATCAGATCTTCAAAAAAGCAATAGCTTTCAGTAAACGTCTTAAATCATCTAATTTAAGAAGGTGAAGGCAGATGCATCACAGTAATATGCAGACTAAAAGCTATGAAAGTATCTGTGATTTCTACTAAAACAGTATCAGGCTGCTGATTCTGGTCTGATGATCAACCAGCAGTCATTCTCACAGATAGAGACCTTCACTGTTCCCTCCACGCAGTATCCATGCTCAGAGACCCTTCAGCTCCCAGTGATCACATAGCCTGTTTATGAGTTATTCATGGAAATATTCTTCCCCCCTGAGGTGTGTTTTTCCTTGCCCCACCATAAGAGAAATGGAAGCAACTTGGCCTTTAGGGTAATGTAAGCAAATAATATGACAGGCAGTCCAAAGTCAAAGAAAAGATTTAATTATTTGTCTCACTGTTTCCCTCCATGAACAGAGCCAGCAAAGGGTTGCTAATCAAGTACATAATGCTGCTACCATTAGTCATCTTCAGTTCAAATCAGTTGCACTTTTTTCCTACGCTGCTTGGAGAAACTCTGCTAAAGCAGAGTTGACAATAAGCAGAAGAAGGTTTAAAGAAGTCAAACATGCCACCCACAAAGCCAGCTGCAACAGCAGCCTGTGCTGAGTTAACATCTAGAAGGCAGAGTGTAGAGGAATCCATGCCCCTGGGAGGTGCTGGTGAGGAAGGAGCCTCAGATGGAAGAACTACCTGCTGATATTTGGAGAAAATAATTTTGTCAGATGTCAAAGGGGCCTCTATCCGGGAAGCCTGGACCCCGGTAGCTGACTGAAAAACGATCACTGTTTTTACCCCAGAATGAGCTGTTTCAAACGTTAAGTAAAAAGTACATTTTAAAAGCCTCATCCTTAAAACTGGTTTTAGTCAACAGAGAGCTCAATTACTGCTTCCCTTCTACATCTCTTTTCACTGTTAATATTTTCTGTTCCCGGCCTCCGGCCTGTCTCTCACCCTTTTCTCCTCTTGCTCCTACTTTTCTTTCACAAACAGCTCCTCCTGTGTTTTCAACCTCCTCAATTGAGAAAGAATCACCCCCTATTAAATACTTAGTTGGTCCAGTATTAGTTTCATTTTCTAAAATGGTTTTTATTAAACACTGCAACATCAACAAACGTCGAAGACACGATGCTGGGTGAAAGAAGCCAGACGTAAATTAAGAGCACATATTGTGAGATTCCGTTTATATAAAATGTCCGGAACAGGCAATCCACAGAAACAGAAAGTAGCTAAGTGGTTGCCAGGGGCTGCAGGGAAAAGGGGATGGGCAGGGACTACAAATGAGTATGGAGTTTTCTTTTTGGGGTGTGGCTACGTTCTGAAATTAGACAGTGCTGACAGCTGGGTAACCTTGTGGATATAATAAAACCCACTGAATCGTATACTTTTATTTTTTTTATTTTTTAAAGATTTTATTTATTTATTTGACAGAGAGAGAGCGAGAGCAGGAACACAAGGGGGAGTGGGAGAGGGAGAAGCAGGCCTCCCACTGAGCAGGGAGCCCGACGTGGGGTTCGATCCCAGGACCCTGGGATCATGACCTGAGCCAAAGGCAGACGCTTAACGACTGAGCCACCCAGGCGCCCCTGAATCGTATACTTTTAAATGGTGAATTTTATCTAATATATGTGAATTATATCTCAATAAAACTGTTTTAACTTGTTTTTATTTAGGGCCTTAGGCCGCAGCGTAAAATTTTTTAGTGTGCAACTATTTGGGGAAAAAAATGTTTTTATTGTGTAAAGACACTTGGTACCACAGTCACAGACCAGTCTGCAGAAAAGCTGTTCTTTTTTTTTTTTTTAAAGATTTTATTTATTTATTTGACAGAGAGATAGACAGAAGAGCACAAGCAGAGGGAGTGGCAGAGGGAGAGGGAGAAGCAGGCTCCGCACTGAGCAGGGAACCCGATGCGGGACTCGATCCCAGGACCCTGAGATCATGACCTGAGCCGAAGGCAGACGCTTAACCATCTGAGCCACCCAGGTGCCCCTGCAGAAAAGCTATTCTTAAGGTTTGGGTACAGTTGGGCTTTGAATTGTCAGTTTGTGTTTTATAAACATAATCGCCACAAAAGGAGGTGCTATGACCCGCTATGCGTCCAGGTAAGTGGGTGGCTCAGTTAGTTGAGC